AAATTTTCTGACTTGAGGCTTTGCTTAATTCATGTTTAATTAATTCATGGCTTTGCAATCGCCCGGGGTCATGCTTCACCTGGACCGAAATAAGGGACGCACATACACACTGCACTGAATGCACACGCGATTAGCGAATGCAACTTAACTTTCTCTTAAACCATGGCTGACAACGTGGACCCCAGTGGAGTGCAGAAAGAAAGAAAATGTCAAAGGTATGGCGTGGGACCTTTTTTCACGTTTTGAGGCGGAAAACGTAGTCCAGTGTAAATACTGTAAAATGGATTTAGTCTACCACAACACCACATCGTCGATGCTGCAGCACCTGACCACATGTAAATGTCATTCCTGCAAGCGGACACTGTGCAACTTTTTCATTTGTAGCATTCAGTTTCAGCTCACTCTGTGCGTCTGGTAGCAACACGTCGGACCTAAAAATGTGCTAAAAACAGCAGTTTCTACATAACACCTCAGAATTTTTATTGTGTTGTTATTGATGTCTGTTGTCCCTCGGGATTGCAGCAGGAGGACACAGGTATTTATGAGTGGCGGAGGAAAACGAAAGAAAGTAAATAAATGTGTTGTAATCAGTATAATTTGACATAACCACGGCAAACATGCTTTCTTGACAATCCTTGTTATTGTGTGAGGGAAAAAAAGTGTAGAAATTAAAACGGACGTGTGTTAATAGGGAAATAGCTGGCGAGCCATGTTTGCGCATGCGCCGTGAGCGGTTCTGGTGCTGTTAGGGCAGCAGCCGCTCGCAGCGCTACTTCAACAGTTATCCTCCTAGTTTTTGTCTGGCTTGCCAGGCTAGTAGATTGTCACACGAGGGGAAAATCGGCTCAGGTTGTATACTTATTTTTTGCACAGGCATTTGTTTACTGTGAAGTAAAGTTGAAGTGCTGAAGTTTTGAAAACTAATTTTGAATAAAACTTGAAGAATAACTGGCAATTGCTTGCTCATTTTAAGAGGTCTTTCATATTTTATAACATGCTATTTGTTATAATGGTTTACAAACTCAAAAGGGTAATTTATTAGAGTACGCGATTAATCAATAAAAGATTCGATCGAGTACTCGATAGCTGCAGCCCTACACAACACACACATTTACGGTTCTGAGATGATTTCATTCACTGTTCACATGACTAAACAATTACACCCCCCCCCCCCCCCCCCCCCCCCCACACACACACACACACCCTCTGAAACATAATGGAAACATGCATAATGTCAGGGTTTCCCCAGCGCTTTATAAGCCTGGTGGGTGGCCAAGCAATGCAAAGTCTAAGGAGAGTGCATGGTGAGGAGCTCTGAGCAAGATGGTGCCAGTGTTTTTGGCCGGCCGTCCACCTCGCGGTCTCCTTCTATTGTTTTTGGTGATATTTCTGAACTTTCTTTCCCCCTTAATTGCAATCATGAACATGCATAAACTGTGGAGCGAACTTCCAGTCACAGTTCGACTGGCATCCACCTTGGCAGATTTTAAGTTTAGACTAAAGACACTATTTTACCCTTGCTTTTAACAGTTAGCTGTTAGTTAGGCTTTTACTATAATTTTATTGGCCATTGTAAGGTTCCATTGGTTTTATTGGTACTTTTTTTGTCAGTTTGTCTTTTTTTTATTGTTGACTGTATTTTATATTACTGTTTTGTGTTTTTTTATCTCTATTATTGTGCGACTGTTCAACACTTTGGTCAGCCTAATGGCTGTTTTTAAAGTGCTATATAAATAAAGTTGGTATGGTATGGTAAGTCTGGTGGGTGGCCACGCAAAGCCTGGTGGCCTGCCAGGCTTTGCGTGGCCACCCTCCAGGCTAAGCGTCGTGCCCTGCCCCCCTCCCCGACCCAACCGTGTCCGCTGACACGAACGGCGCAACGAAACTGGAGCCCTCCATCAGCTGATACTGCTGAGAAACAGCAGCGGAACATGTGCAGTCACCCCACCCCCGCTCTCACGGAGGAGTGCGTGAAGTCCCTGTGCCCTGAAGTCTCAGCATTGACGTCTACAGGAAACTGACCCACACTGACCAGTACTTGCATTTCGCCTCACATCACCCACTGGAGCACAGAATGTGAGAGGGTGCTTGCTGCAGGACCACAAAGGCAGAGCTGCACCATAAGGTGGATCTGCACCAAAGTCAGCCCCGCCCACTCACGCAAACTCGGCCTAGCCCATTGTCTTCTTCTGTTCTTGTTTTTTTTAACTTTATCGCAATCTAACCTGACCCACATGAATTACGGCTGTTACTAGTTTACAAATATTAATGCTATGTTCTATGCTCCAATTAAGCAAGATAAATATAACTTCCTACATGACAAAACCTGAATATATCCCGAAACAAAAAGGTTTCTTTTAGCAAATTTCTGCCCACAGCCGCTCCAACAGAAGTGGCCTTCAACAGCATTTAAGGCTTATTGTTTTGTGGGCTCTGGTAGTCCAGTGGCATGTTCGCCTGACTTAAGTTTTGCTTTCCCCTCTGCTGATGCTGGTTCGACTCTCAGTGGGGTCGGCAGCAATCTATTTAGCCAGCTGAAACATTGAATTTGTTTATATTTGAGTTGTAATGTTTATTTTCTGCAAAATATTTATGTCTCTAAAAGTTCTTTGAATTTGGTCGTTCCTAAACAGCATTTTAGTTGAAACTCTGCTCACAAATGGACTCACACTGGCTAAATAAACAAAGAAATTTAAAAAAAAAAAACATATTAGTCATTATATTTTAAACGGTATACCAATAAATGGTTGAAAACATTGTACTGGCAAGTGTAGCTAGAAAGGAAGCAAAAAGTTTACGCTGCTACCGGGAGACGAACCTGCGCAAAACTACATGCCAATCTGACTCCATAACCACTTCACCACTACATCTGATAAGTAGCAAGTTACATCACCTGTAATTGTGCCACCCAGTGTGTCTTTGTAGATGGGATGTATGGTTTTTCCGGCGGTGTCTCAGTAGAAGTCATTTCAGAAATAATTTGTCAGAAAATTCACAATAAATCCAGATTTGCGAACCAAGACCAGACCCGCTTCAGGGGGAGAGGACCAAATTGAAGCTGAGATGGGAGGAAAATGTGAATGAGGCCAAAAATGGCTTTGGCGTATTTCTTATGAGGAAATGACAATATACCATGTTAAAAAGTTACAAAAGTTAGATTTTTAATTATCTGGAACTTTTACAAAAACTGTTCAATTAACCTCTCAATTCAGTCCTCAATCTTGCATTTTAGATATTAGCTATAACACCCTCTTTGGTTCCAGAATGCTATTTAGTCTGACAACTGGAAGGAATTGGACTGACTCTGATGGAGTGGGCGGGGCTGACTGGTGCAGCTCCAACTAATGGACTCGACACACGGGAGGCGACAAACGACCGCGATCAGCGAAATTTGTCGCTGTCGCTTTTATTACCTGTCACACGGGAGGCAGCGGCAGCGGCAAAGCTGTCTACGCGTTCTGTTCCATGGCAAAATCGAAACTTCTGTTGTTTTGTTTGGCTGTGTCAGGTTGGAGGTAATTAAGGTTATTTAAGCGGTTCAGAGTTAATAAAGTGGTAGATATGATGTTTCTCAAGGTGCTGCTAGAGTTATGTGAAATCTTACTTCTGATTTTACTATATAAAACATAATAATAATCAACCTCTCCTCCATGTTTGCTCGGAGATGTGCGGAGCATCATGTCCGCTCATTGGTCAGTGAATGAAACCTCCGTTGATTGGTCCTCGTCCGAGCGACAGCGATGAAAAGTTGAAAATGTTTCAACTTTCTGGGATCGCGTCGCTGGGTCGTCCGTGCACGACACGTGCACGAGTGCAAAATTTCACACACACGTTTTTCGCGTTTCGCTTGGTAGGAGGGAGACCCGCGATTATCGCTTTGTCGCGCATGTCTCATTGAAAATGAATGGAGGAGAGGCGATGTCACCTCCCGTGTGTCGAGCCCATTATGGTGCAGCTCTGCCTTTGTGGTGCTGCAGCGAGCACTGCTTGCAAAATGTCAGTTATCAGAACTTAAAACCATCTGACTAAGAATATTCCTACAAAGACTGAAGGAAAGCAAAAGGAAGAGAAACTTCAAGAAAGCTTTCCAAAACGGCAGATACCCTAACTGGGCCTTTGTGAACTCAACAAAGAAGTCTGGAAAAGAATCTACAGCTGCAACTAGCAAAGAAAAGGACAACAGGCAGGAGGCTTAAAGAAAACTGAGAAAATTTTTCTCCAAACACAATATCCTGGTAAACTTTAAACCCAACAACAACCTCAGACAGAAATTTGTTCACCAAAAAGACAAAATACCCAAACAGAAATGCCAGAACAGGACAGGTTTAACTAATTGTTTGGCTCCCACAATCTTGTTTCCTCTCCATCTCCATTACGTTTCTGACTGTAGGTGGTTACTACATGTTTTCTTAGACTTCCAGTCCATCATTTGATGACAAAACTTGCAGAAATGTGTTCTCTACATTATAATAATCTCTTCATTAATAATTTCTTAGGTATTGGTGTTCCCTAAACTTTGCACTCAGTTTTATAATTATACAGTAAACTGAAACAATTCATCTTTCAACTGTTACACTGTGTAAGTAAAACATCACACAAATGTCATTTAACTTTTATTTTTTTACAAGTCATTATGATGAGTTTTCGTTTATTTTGACAATTGCACATAGTTGCTCTTCAAGTGTCCACATTTTATTTCTTGAACTTTTTCTGTTATTAACAAATAATTACTCAAAACATTTTCTTTTTATAGCTTTAAGCCACTAATGCTGCCCACCAGGAAATCCTTCCATTTGGTGCATTTTGCAAACAGAAAGTGTGATTGAAGTAAGGCTCCGAGGCAGGGTGAATTTCTCATCAAAAGGTCATGTAATAGTCGTGCTGCAGGGCTTGTTTTATCCACCATGTAGACCTTCAATGAAGAGTTAAACGACTGTTTTATGTGTATTCACACAAAACCTCATCTTCTGACCAGCCTGTGTCCTGTTTACCCTTTGTAGATGGCGATGTCAACTTCATTTGGTCAGCAGTATAGTCAGGCTGGGGTGCAGCAGATGGGTACAGCAGGGGTCAACACCCAACTGCTTCATAACAAGACTCAACTTTCCAACAACTTGCCCCCATTCCCTGCTGAGCTAAAGGGGGCTGGGAATGTGCCAAATATGGTAAGTATTCATTCATTCTTGATGTCACCATCATTTTTAGGGGAAAAACACAATCATTATTATATTCTTTAGGATGCACATTCTCAGTTGTTATTCAACGTAAGTTGTGGTCGGCTGACATCAGATTTATGAGCTCGACACGCGAGAGGCGACATTACCTCTCCTCCATTCATTATCAATTAGACATGTGCAAAAAAGCGATAATCGCGGGTAGAGGTTGACCGAAAGTTGTTTTTCTATTGCCGATACCGATATTAGGTGGTTTGTGATAAGGTGTATAAGTGTTGCAGATTTTTTGGGGTTGATATCTTGATGTTTGGCACCTTCTCTGAATGCTTAATTATCATTAATAACTGTGGGTGCACAAGATTTCTGAACCTAATCTGTTTTTAAACGCTGAATTTAACCAACTGTTGAAACTGCTCATTGGTAAAATCAAACATTTTAGCAAGATTAATAAAAAATACCAATAAACTGACCAAGTATTAAATATACAAAACAGGCAAAAGAAAAAAGAAACATCAGTAGAGAATTTATTAAACAGATATTTTGTAGGGATGCTCATTTACATGTAAGTAAAAGTAAATACAGCTTTAGATAGAAATACAATTTCTGCTGAAAGAAATGCATAAATGTGATGAAATAATCAATAAAAACACAATATCAACCTGCTAAAACACACCAGCAACATCTAAAGTTCATTGAGTCTTTTAAATCACTATTTCATAACATTTTCATGTAAAATATAAATGAAACCCCATTAGTGTTCTTTATTCAACAGCAGCTTCTCTGTAAGCCTGGAGATGAGGAACCCTCAGGTTGTGTCAAAGACTATTTTGAAGGTTATAAGAAGCCTAGATATTTTAAGGCAGTTTAAAACCTACGTGGTGCGCAGCAGTGGAATTTATTCAGTCAAAAACTTGGGCATGGGAGGAGTTTGGCAAAGCCATATAATAAGGCTATCGATTTGCTCTAAATATGTTCGGGCTAGGGTTGCAGGGATTGATTGGTTTGACTATTGCCCACTGTGTGAAACACTGTGGTTAACCCACTGTAAAGACATCTCTGAAACTGCAAATAAAAAAATGACATTAGTGGACCAAAACGAAGTGCATTTAGTGTGAACCTGCCAAGTCCATCCTTGTGAAAGCACCATGTGAGCACCTGTGTGTGTGTACATGATTGTATATGTAAGGCTTATCTATAGGAGTGTCCAATAGTGAGTGTGAGCGGCCACAGACCTGCCCCCAAAGACGTGTGGAAGATGGAGGAGTTCTAAGCCCTAGAGATTCAGACGTCTCCGTAGCACAGGAACCCCAGGGAGACCGCTGCCGGAGAAGCCCCTACACCAGGGCCTGGACCAGCTGACGCCACCGCACAACCCCACTTACCCCCAGAACCCTCAGTGTCTAGGTGCAGCGTAAAATTGGAAGTGGACACCAGCACTGAGGGTGAGGCTGAGAGATCCCGCCGCCAGGTGCCGTTGAGTGCCCTCGCGCCCCCAGGCCCTAAGTGTGCATTTGCGTGGAATGTTATTGGTAGAAGTGTTTAATGCGTCACATCACACAACTGCTCTGTTTCCACCTAGGATGTGCTTAAAGTCTCCTGTGAGGGAATATTTTGATTTTCAAACCTGCTAAAGGAGAAATTCAGCATGATGGCGCATCCATCTGCAAATCCAGCAGAAATAAATTGTGACACCTCCAACTTGTTATCATCTTTGAGACCATCACAGACAAATAAGCTCCAACTGAATCAGATTATGTTAGTGACTGAAGGGATTTAACAGTAAAGAACAATCCAGTGAACAAGGGTTCATTTAATAGTGTTCTATGTTTCCCTAGATACAGCAAGCCTGTATGGCAAGCCATTTTTACATTTAATCTACAATAACTCTCTGTAGTCCCTATTCTACATATCAATTTTATAATTTGTTCATGTCCAGATATTATTTTTACTAATTAAATTGAAAAGAAAGAAGAAAGGTATGATTCAGTAGAAATTGTATTTAAGGATGTTCAAAACAACTTCACTAGTAGGACTTTAACATCTCATTTCATTAAAGTGTCTCCATCCCGTTGACTTGAATAAATGATGGGTTAACGCTGACCAGCTAAAGACAGTTAAACCTTTTTGTCTTTTACAGAAGCTCAAAACAGGCTATTAGACATATTTAATGAAAGGTGTTTTCACTCGAAAAAAACATTTTTAAATTTGATTAATTGGTCACTGAGTTTTTCATGCAGGCTGAACATCAAAATAGTCTCCTACATAGAAGTTAATAGAAGTTAAGTTTTGCTACACTAGTGGATAACTGCAAAATGATGATTTGCTATGGGTGTTATTGTAGACTATATTAAAATAAGGTTTGAGGTTTATCCTATTTCTCTACCTCTTGATCAGTTGATCCGTGGGTCTGGTGGCTGTGCGCATTTATTACCAAATGATAGAATCAGCTGAAACTGTTGATGGAAATTTGTTCAAACTAAATCACAGGAGAAAGTTTGGAAGCCTGTGTGTTCATCATGTGTTAATAAACAAATGGCATTTAAGAGGAATTGGTGTTAATGAGCTATTAACTTTACTGTTGCCCTAGATATTTTACTGAGAATGTTTTTCTGCTCAACATCAAACTTTTTAAACCTTAAAAAGTCTTAAATTAGCTTTTCCAAATTTAAGGCCTTAAAAATCCTAAAAAATGACAAATAATCCTTAAATACAATTTCCAAAGGTCTTAAATTTTCAAAGACCCAATAAAGATTCTTTTATTTCTATAAAATTTTCATGAATTTCTAGTTAGTCTTCAGCATTTTTTGTGTACGATATTGGCATAAGCGGAACCGTACACATTCAGTTGGTTGTGAAAGGGGGCTGTTTTTAGATGAGCACATTAGCTGGTTAAACTAGTGGGAGCTTGCGCCATGGGGAAGTGAAAGTTTAATGGTGACTGGATGGCTAATCCCATGTTCACGACGTGGTTAGCACCGGTTCCAGGCAATAGCTGGAAATTATAGCTTAAATTTAATTATAAAATAGCTTAAATTTGGTCGAAGTGGCCTCAAAAAAGGTCTTAAAAAGTCTTAAATTTGGCTCCCTTAAACCTGCAGATACCCTGCTATAACTGACATTACCCTGTCTTCTTTACAAGCACGTCATCCTCCACCCGCTCCAGCTGCAGCCACTATGTAGAAATGGGAATCCGTGCCGGGATGACCCCTGCTATAAATCTGCGTATTACCTGTAATACAGACTTGAACATTTTAGCCAGAAGATTTGAGCAATAATTGGATTTTCATTTTACTTCCACAAAATGTAAATTCTTGATTAGATATAGCAGAAAACAGTAATGTCTTGCTATCAAATTAAGAGCCATCCCTCATTATTTAGGCCATAGTTTGTTAAATCTGGCCGTCTCGCTGGATAATACTATAGACCCAGCTCTGGATAGGCAGAGGACTTTAATAAAAATGAATAATTATAATGGATAAAGTGATGACGTTTTTTTGTCTATCCATCAAGTTTGAAGTTTTGGTATTTGTTTCCGTTTACTGAGAACTTTAAAGTGTGAAACATGTATTTTTTTTTTATTACTATGAATTTATTAACTTTATGTTGTGCACATCTTTCCTGTCCCAGATACAACAGCAGGTAGCTTCAATGGGCATGGCCCCTGGAGTTGGTGTGTCAGGAGGGCCAACAGCAGACCCTGAGAAGCGAAAACTCATTCAGCAGCAGCTGGTCCTGCTGCTCCATGCACACAAGTGCCAGCGACGGGAGCAGGCTAATGGAGAAGTGAGAGCCTGTACTCTTCCTCACTGCCGTACCATGAAGAACGTACTAAACCACATGACCCACTGCCAGGCTGGCAAGTCCTGCCAGGGTGAGTAAAAATCACATAACATTGTCAGATTTTCTAGTCCCATTATAAATTACCAGTAGAAAAGGTGCTTGGGCATGAGGGTTGGGCAATGGGAAGAATTACTACTGGATGTGCAGCGCACCAGGCTAAAGACCAAAGGTGACAGATCATTTGCTGCTGTGGCCCCCAGACTCTGGAACTCTCTCCCCCTGAGCCTGAGATCAGTGGACTCAGTGGTCTCCTTTAAAAAGCAGCTGAAGACTCACCTGTTCAAGCTGGCTTTTGTATGACCTTCTGTTAATTCTTCATCACCATCCTCTTCTCATTCAGATCCTTCTACCAACTCTGCCTTTCCTGGGATCCACTGACTACCAGTTCTTATGCGTTTTCTCTTTCCATGTACTCACATTACATTACACATTACACAAATTTTAACTTTTGCTAATTTAATGATAGTTTTTGAATACATTTTCATTTCAAATTTTTGTTCTTGTGAAGCGCCTTGTGATTTATTTCTTGAGAGGTGCTGTATAAAAGATTATTTCTTCTAAAATGATGAGTTGTGCTAAAAAAACATCAAAAAAGCAAATTCACATAGAAAACACAGACTACTTGTATTATCGGGCTCGCACTCGGGCTGCATGGCGGCGCAGTTGTTAGCACTGTTGCCTCGCAGCACGAAGGTTGCAGGTTCGAAACTCTGCTGTGGCCTTTCTGCGTGGAGTTGCGCGTTCTCCCCATGCATGCGTGGGTTTCCTCCGGGTACTCCGGTTTCCCCCACACATCACAACATGCCCTACAAGTTATAAATTGTAAGTCGCTTTGGATAAAAGCGTCTGCCAAATGAATAAACATAAACAAGAATTATTCAACAATCTGCGATGGGCTAAAGATGCTAAATTCCCACTGGTGCATTTGTTATTAGTATTATTATTACGAATATCCATAAGTATAAATTCTCAGTAATCATACCACAAAAATGTCTTAACTGTTGCAACCCTAGTCGTTAATACTTTTAGTTTATTAATGCTTAATAATGCATTAAGCAACGTTAATAAAGGGACCCTTATTGTAGATTATTGCTGACGTTATTAATCCCATAGTGGGGAAATTCTCTTGTTAAAGCAGCACATGCACAAAGGCTACTAATGTAACCTTCAGTAAATAGAAGAAACCATAAATGAAGAAAGTGAGTTGACAAAACGAACACAGACGCTGTAAATCTCATGTTGGATAGTTGATGTGTGCCCGGTGAGTGTGTGTGCAGTAACAGAAACACACAGTCGTTTGTTCCCACAGAAGTACAAATAAGTTAGTTCTGCAGCTTTACATTGCACATTATTACGCAAAATGACTCATTTTCATGTGTTGACATTTGTATTGTACAGAAGCAGTTGGATTGTTAAAACACCACTTTTGCTTTTTCTCCAGTGGCTCACTGTGCATCATCCAGGCAGATCATCTCCCACTGGAAGAACTGTACACGGCATGACTGTCCAGTTTGCTTGCCATTGAAGAATGCAAGTGACAAGAGGAATCAGCAGCGTGAGTATCTCATCTGTTTATAAATCCATAGAAAAAGACCCAGGGTTTACCTTGTTTAAGTCTTTTAGACTGTAACAGCGCTGTCATAGGTAAATGGTGAACCTCAAGGAAGTGTGTGTCGTATGAGTTGGTGCCACCTGCAGGTTGTGTTTTCTTGCTGCATATCTGTGCTGACTTGCTGTCCCAGAGCTCAGACAGCGAGAGGATTCCTGTAGAAAGGCCGGGCCTGTAATATGACACCCAGGGGAGGGGCTCAGTGGCTCTGCCATTAGTGGGGGCAGGGTCTCAGGACAGAATGCTTTCTAATTGGTTAAAAGGCTCTATGACGGATTTAAATCCCCCTACAGAGGCAGCGTGCTCCCTGTAAGCAATCAACACAGCAGGGAGCAGGTTTCAGATGGACATCCAAGAACCCTTTTAACTGGGAATTATTTTATTTTTATTTTTCCTTTCTGAAATGACCGTTTTCAAGAATATTTGTTTGAAATTATTTTTGAAAGAGAACAATGAATGAATGAAATGTTTACATTAGTTAATATGTTAATGTTAGAGCACATGCAAAGTCACAACAAACAACTTTCTTCCTCAGTGACTCCAGGTTTACTGTTTAAAAAAATGATCATTTTTACTAAACCATTATTTTGATTATTGATTTTGCCCCTGACCCTACAGCTATGCTAAGTTCGCCTGGGGCCAGCTTGCAGAATGCTATCAGTACAGTCGGAGCTGGCCAGTCAAGTGCCACAGCCATCAACAGTGCTACCACACACATTGACCCCAGCTCCATGCAGCGGGCCTACGCTGCCCTGGGCCTCCCATATGGGAATCAGTCCCCTGCTCAGGTGCAGGGTCAGGGTCCGGCTCAGCAAAACCCCCAGGGGCACCAGCAGTTGCGGAACATGAACCCCCTAGGTATGAAAAATAAAGGGCTTCATTACATTATTTTCCTATATTATCTGCAAGTGTGTTCAGCACAGTGGAATGCCACGATACGGTGTAAACAAGTTATTGTAAATATTGTTTTCAGGCACTAATCAGATAAACCAGATGGGAGGAGGAATGGGCACCCCTTCCTCAGACCAGACTGGATTGCACTCTGACTCCTCTCTGCCCTCTATGCTCAACAAGTGAGTTTTTGCAACAATTTTAATAATAAAAAAATTTATAATCAATCATTGATTTGAACAATACATTTTATGGGGTTTTGTTGTTGGTTTGTGACAAAATGATTATCTCAGTCGATCTCCTGGCATGAATCGATCTTTTAAGAGCAGCAATTTTTATGATTCAAATTCCAAACTGATCCAGTTGATTGTGTCTTCTAGTCAGCTAATGCCAGATGGGTCAGTAGTAGGAGGAATGGGAAACCTGCCCACTGCCACCCCACTTTCTGCTACAGGGGTAAGGAAGGCCTGGCATGAACATGTCACTCAGGACCTGCGCACTCACCTGGTGCACAAATTGTAAGTCCAGCAATTATTCAAACGCTTTTGGAGTTTCAAGTTGTCTTGTGGTAGTACTGCAAGACTTGTAATATTTTCTCTTCTAGAGTACAAGCCATATTCCCAACCCCAGACCCTGCAGCACTAAAGGACAGGCGGATGGAGAACTTGGTAGCATATGCACGCAAAGTTGAGGGTGACATGTATGAGTCTGCCAACAGCAGGGTAATTTATAATAGATTCAGTGCTCTTTTTTGCTAATCTTTTGAGACCAAATCCCTCTGATAGGACAAATGAACATACACATTAATTATCCTTGTCTGCCCTTTCTTTTTCCTCATCTTCTTGTTAGGATGAGTATTACCATTTCCTGGCAGAAAAGATTTACAAGATCCAGAAGGAACTAGAGGAAAAGAGGCGCTCGCGGCAAAATAAACCGCCGAGTTTAGGGGGTCCAGCTGGCCCTCAGCAGCCTGGGATGGGTCAACCAAACACCATGGGCCCAGGGCAGGCTGTCAGGCCTCAAAGTTAGTAACCACTCTCCTTTACCTTGGATGTCTACAAGCCATTCAAATGTTTTCCAGACATCTGTCAGCTGCTCAAGGAAACATGGTTGTTTTGTCCTTTTGCAGATGGGCCTGCACCAATGCCTAATATGCCAAATCAGATCATGAACCGCATGCAGGTGGACCATGGTATGTGTTTGCTTTTCACTTTCATAAAAGTTATATTTAAAGAAACTATTTTTGTGCCAATTTGTAAAAAATATCTAGCTGTTGCTTTTCCTTTTAAGTATCAAAGAGAAAACTGGTAGATATTTTGTACATAAGGCTAATTTTCTGTGTGCGCACAATGGTTAAACCTGTCTTATACAAGCCAGCTGGTTTGTTCCTGACACCAGCCCAGTAGGACATGGAATATTAAATTAGTCTAACTCCCTTGAACAGGTATGTAATTTTGTGTAAATTTATTCCCACAGGAATTAATCAGTATAACCCAATGGCTATACAGAATGCACAGATGCCTCAGGCACCCATGGGAGTGAGGGCTCCTTCCCCGATGAGCCATCCACCACAGATGAACATGAACTCGGTGAGATTTTCTCTCCATGTTGTGAAAACCAAGTTTCCAGCAGTTTAGACTGGTGCCACTGGCCCCTCTGGTCAGAGCCGGGATCGAACCTGCAACCTTCCAATTACTGGACAATCCGCGCTACCTCCTGAGCTACTGCTGTCCCATAGGGTATCATGATGGCTTATGTTTAAAATCATTAGCTAACCACAATCAAATTCACTATCTGGATGACACAGTTATTCAGGATAGGTGGAGTAACAAGGTTATTTTTAAAATGTAAAGAAGTCGGCCAACACATAATTACTTCAGTCAATTATTGATACCCCAAATTTCTCCTAAAGTAACGTAACAAAGTATTTCTACTTTGTAAGTTGACACCTTTGCTTACTGTGATGTTTTTGCCGCTTCTTTATATTTTATAGATGGTTATGTCCCCATCAAGGATGCCTCCGAATCAAGGAGTGATGGGTAGTCATGCTAACAACATGGTGTCTCAACCAGCCAACCAAGGCCAATACCTGCCACAGGGCCAGTTTCCTGGTGCAGCAGGTGGAGCAATGAATGTGAATTTGGGCTTGGGGCAGGCTATGCCCCAAGCTGCTGTTGCACAGGTAAGAACATGTGCTGTGGTAAGAAGTTGTTTAGACTCTTCTCTTTTTGTAGCTTGTGCCTCCCTTTTGATGCACTGAGTGTCCATGTTTGGCTGCTTCAAAAATTGCCCGTATTAGCACACTAATAGTTTGCCCCACTTTGTTCCAGCCACCACAAAACTCTAACATCCCTCTGAATGCACTGGGCTTCCAGCTGTCCTCTGGCCCTGCACCCCAGCCCACCCTGGATACCACCCCCCCACCCAGTGTTAGTCAGCAGCAGCAAAACGCTCCCACGCAGGCACATGGGCCACCTCAGCCTTCCACTCCCAGCTCCACGGTCGGACCCTCCTCCACTCCAACACACATACCAAGTAGCCTCCCTCGTCCCCCTGCAGCTATGAGCACCCCACCTGACCCCTCCCAGCCGCTGACACCCCTGCAGCCCCATTCTGAACCCTCTAGCCAGATGCAGCAGCCCACCTCTGTACAGGCGCAACATCCTGCCACACCGGTGAGACACTAGTTATTCCTGGGCACTAAAAACTAGTCAGTGCTTTTGTTGGCTTGCATTGAAGCATCCTTTTAAATGCCTTTTACAATATATCACATCAGTTTATGTTTCATTTGTTTATGTGACCAGCACTATGACTGGTATGTTTTGTTTTTCTTCTCAAGTTATCGCAGGTAGCAGCAGGTATGGATACCAGAGTACCTACACCAGGTTCTGTGGCTGAGCTGAGCTCACAGCAGACCCTGCCTGACATGAGCGTGGTTAAATCCGAAGTAAAAAATGAAGATGATGACGGCATCAAGAAGCAAAATGAAATTAAAATGGAGGTATAGAGGATTATCAATTATTTGGAGATTAAATGATGAGGATTTTGCCATTTGGACTTCTGATTACAATTTCAAACAATTTAAACACATTTTATTTTTATTTTTGTGAAGCAGGATAATGAAACCAAACTCCCACTGGTGAAGAAGGAGGAGCCAGATGCAGCTGAACCAAAGCAGGAACAAATGGAAACCGAGGACAAGAGGTCTGAGGTGAAGGCAGAACCCAAAGAAGAGGAGGATGGTGGGGCCAACGGCACATCAACCACTTCCACCACTCAGAACCGTAGAAAAAGTTAGACAATCTTTTTTTGTACAATCATTAACTTTTTATCCTCTCATGTGAAAACCTTCCATACTCCCAACAGTAGTCCTGTATTTGGCAACAAAAGTTTACTTTTCAGTCTTGTGCCTAGTTTAAACTTTGCCATCAGCTTGGCAACGGAGAGACGCAATGCTGGCATCCGTTGATGCAAGGGGCAGGTCCAAATTTTAACGGTCTGACAAAAGCGACAAAGACTGCAAGCCTGTGATTGGTCAGAATGTCACTTCTTTGAACTTTGTCAACATCACTGCCATTCCCCTCCCCCCTAAAAAACGATTGCAAGAACCGGGATACCATGCTCCTTAAACCAGGTGCTGGTAGCGTTGGCACTGTGCGCTGGTGCCAACTCCTGTTGGAAAAGGAAATCTGCATTTCCATAAAGTTGGTCAGCAGCAGGAAGCACGAGGTGCTCCAAAACATCCTGGTAGACGACTGCATTGACCTTGAACCTCAGAAAACACAATGGACCAACACAAGCAGATGACATGGCACTCCGAACCATCACTGACTGTGGAAACTTTACACTGGTCCTGAAGCAACGTGGATTCTGTGGCTCTCCTCTAGGGTTGGGCGATTTGAATAATTTTTCCCACCGCCAATCGTCCGTCCAAAACAAAATGAATTTATTCGTGCATGTGACGTCATGAGGCATGGACTGATTTGTGAACACAGTAGAAGCCCAAAACATAGATTTTTTTAAATACAAGTGCAGCACATATGTTTGCTGGAAGAGAAATGTATATTTTTCTTTTTGTTTAATTTTGTATTTGTAGTTTGGTAGAGTGACGTATAAACGGCCCGTATTAAACACGGTTAAAATGTTTAAAAGAACCCTCGTCTTTGTTTCCCTCTGGTTCCCACTGTTGTGTTTTTTTATTTTACCAAAATGTTTCTTTCTGAAAAAATACTTCTGGGGTTCATTCTTTTATAAGTGGGGGATTGAATGAATCGCTGCTGCGTTTGGACGCATTCTGAGGAGTCAGCCCGCTGCCAGAGGTCACATGATCCATTTATCCCTGTCACTTTCATTTATAAAATAATGAATAATCATTCCTTAAATTTCCATTCATTTAAATTAATTTTTAGTCCAACCAAGCTGATCAGAATGCCCCAGTAATATGAACAATGAAATTAAATGATTTAACTTGAATTAGGAACATTTCACTGCTGCGGCTCGAACTCGCGTTCCTCCTGCTGCGCCGCGTGAACCCGAGCTGGTCACCTGCAGCTTGTGTGTAATCAGATGTCTCTAGGGAGCTTGCTGAAGAGGTTATGAGCTTCTAGACTTTTGCCTCAGACAGACTTGTGGCTGTTTAAACAGTGTCCTGGATGGATCCATGCTCTGCTGGCACACTCAAAGCAAGTGCTAAGCAAAGTTTTAAATCGGGAAACATTACTCCAAATGAAATAACCAGAAGTCTTCCAGACTGAAAGATGGAAGGAAGGGTTTCCACTTTCCACTCGACGCCGAGCTGTAGTGCTTGATGCCGAGTGCATCACAGACGCTCTCCAAGCCCCTCCTCAGTGCGCTGCTTGCGCGTGAACTGTCAGTAGCCAGAGGCGGAAGAGGTGAGAAAAGGCTCAGGTGCGCTGATGGAGATCTTTTCTTGATTGTTACCTCCGTAATGTTCTCTGTGCGTAGTGTGTAAAATATTCGTCAATAACAAATAAATAACTAAAAAAAATCACCTCCTGTAAAAAAACAACCGTAACGGCTCAGCCCATCGCCGATGGTCGATTCATTTGGCCCATTTCCCAACCTTACCCTCCCCTCTTCTTCCAGACTCTGCGAGCTTGATTTCCAAAGGAAATGCAAAATTTCCTTTAACCAGAGAACATAACTTTGGACCACTCAGCATCAGTCCAGTCCTTCTTGTCTTCAGCCCAAGTGTGACACTTCTGTTTCTGTCTCTTGTTCTAGAGTGGCTTGACACAAGGAAGGCGACAGCTGAAACCTGTCTTGAGCTGTGAGTGGTGGTTCTTCTAGCACTGACTCCAGCTGCACTCCACTCTTGGGAATTTCCCCCACATTGTTGAATGGGTTTTGTTTCACAATCCTCTCCAGGGTGCGGTTATTCCTGCTGCTTGTTCACTTTCTTTGACCAAGTCTTGTCCTTCCCTTCACTTCACTATTAATGTGCTGGGACACAGAGCTCTGTGAACAGCCAGCCTCTTTAGCAATGACCTTTTGTGTCTTGCCTCTTTGTGCAAGGTGTCAGTGGTCATCTTTTGGACAAGTGTCAAGTCAGCAGTCTTCCCCATGATTGAGTAGCCTACAGAACTAGACTGAGAGCCCATGTATAGTCTTTTGCAGGTGTTCTGAGTTAATTACCTGAATTGAGTGTGGCACCAGGGGTCTTCACTATTGAACATTTTCACAATGTTCTAATATTCTGAGATACTGAATTTGGGATTTTCATTAGTTGTTAGTTATAATCTTTCTAATTAAAGAAATAAACATTTGAAATCTATCAATCTGTGTTTAATGACTTAATCTAATATACCAGTTTAACTTTTTGAATGGAATTACTGAAATAAATCAATTTCCAATTGAATAATTCAAATTTTATGACCAGCGCCTATATAGTGGCAGACACAAAGGAGATCTCACGGAAGAAGTCCAGCGATATGGACATTACACACCTGTGGCCGAAGGAGTACAAAGATATGCAGAAAACTTTTTATTTGTGGAAGGAATTATGAGAAACGTGTGTTTGGAAGTGGTGACTAAATGAAGAAGAAGAGGAGAATGAGGGACAAATTTGTCCTTGTTGAAAAGTCTCAGAAATCATGTATACAATAAAAATGCAAATACGCAGAAGTAAATACACTACTGTCGACCAGAGACATGACTTCAATGGCGGCACTATGGCCTCTGTTGTCCTGGCAGGAAATAGCTTTGCAACTCTCCCCAGGTGACGAAGGATACTAGGGAAATGTCTTTGATTATACACGTTCGCCACTCGGCACCCGAGCTGAAGGAACCCAGCTTTAGCCTTTGCAGTGTGCAGAAAAGGTTTTTTCAGCCATATGGATACACTTTGTTTGGGTCTTTAAAAATAATTTTCTTTCTATCCAGTTTTCAAACCAGAGGAGCTGAGGCAAGCCCTAATGCCAACACTTGAGGCTCTCTACAGACAAGACCCCGAGTCCCTGCCCTTCAGACAACCTGTAGACCCCATGCTGCTGGGTATTCCTGTGAGTTTCTACAAATATATATGGACATGCATTTAATGCAATATAACAAGGTTGACAGAAATATTGAGTTATTTGTTCATTCCTTCAAACGTTTTTTGTTGGCGTTTCTTGTGCAGGATTACTTTGACATAGTAAAGATCCCCATTGACTTATCCACCATCAAGCGCAAGCTGGATACAGGTCAGTACCAGGAGCCATGGCAGTATGTGGATGACGTGTGGCTTATGTTCAACAATGCTTGGCTGTACAACCGCAAAACATCTCGTGTCTACAAGTACTGCACCAAGCTGGCGGAGGTGTTTGAAGTGGAAATCGATCCCGTCATGCAGGGTCTGGGCTACTGCTGCGGCAGGAAGGTGAGTTTAACTCGGCAATAAATGCAAACGCAGGCAAAATTGTACCTTAAGATATAATTTTATTAAATAATATTAGTTCAATTAGTTCACTCCTGTTTACTTGCTGAATGTGGGTAAAGTTTCTCTGAGTGGCCCTTACTGTCGTTGTTGCTCTGGTGTTCTCACAGTTCGAGTTCTCGCCTCAGACACTCTGCTGCTATGGTAAACAGCTGTGTACCATCTCCAGAGATAGCACCTACTACAGCTACCAGAACAGGTAAATACACGTGACTGTACTGAGGTTTAGAAGCAGGTGCAGTGATATGAAGCAAGTGTTAAAATATTTTGATCCAGCCTAACAGCTTCATTTACTGCAGCTGTCCCAGTCTAGCATATTTTCAGATCAGTCCCTGTGTTGTCTTCATTTGTTTATTAGCTTTAACAGAAATCTGGCACCAAAGCGCCCCCTCTTGTTCTGAAAATGACACTGCAGCTTTTGTATGAACATATTTCAACACGGCTCTTTTAACTCTGAGGTTTGCTAAAAAGAAGGTTCTCTGTGTTTAAATTGTAGGTGACTCCTTGCTAGGGCTGAACGATTATAGGAAAAGATTGAATTACGATTTTTTTTCTAGGAGAAATTGCGATTTCAGTTCAATTCACGATTTTCTTCAAATAGAGGTACAACACCAGTCTGCTAAGCCATCCCGTCCGTATATTAAGTGAAAAGATGATGTAGATTTTAATCTAGTTCAACAAATCATTCACGTTAATATTTACTATATAATCTAAAGCTATTAATATTTTCTCCCATTATTATATTTATATCTTAAAAAATTATATTCTTGTGAAGCCACTTGTGGTTTTTATCTAGAGAGGTGCTTTACAAAAAACATGTTCTTGTTCTACTCCAAAAATGCAAGGAGGAAATCTGAAGGTAGAAAAAGCTTTTAAATGAATTAAATAACCAATAATGCACACCGTTTTCCCCGCATTACCAAGGCAGGCTGGCTGGACGTTTTTTGAAGCCGTCTGGTAGTTTTTCCTCACTAAAACTCTGCTATAAAGCCTAGTTTATGCTGCGGTCAGCTCCGTGAGCGAGAGGCACACACGCATTGAAAGAGACCCTGACATGTTAACGTGTGCCATCAGAAAAATTCAAACCATTTTTAAGAGAGAAGTTTAACTTTCAAGTCAGCTAAAGTCTGCGACTTCGCACTCACACTGATGAAGCTTAAACCAAGCTTTAAAAATCAGCCTGAACCTGCTCCGATGCGGGAGGAGTCTCTCTCCTTCGCTCACCTATGGTGCCGTTATCGGCTCTAGCAGCGCTGTGTGTGGAAAAATAACCTAAATATGCAGCTCTGTCTGTTGTGGAATTGGGCCCGGCTCCGAATGGTACACCCCACCCCCGTCCCTCACGCTGGCTGTTGCCGCCGCCGTAACCCGTGGTGAAACACCGGATGTGAAGAAAAAAAAAGCTAACATAACAGATCGGGGATTAGTCAGGAGCGCTGAAAAGTTGCAGCTTTGATCGTCACGTGATCGTGCTGTTTGAAATCGCAATTTCGCTCCAAAAATAGTGGATGGTTCAGCCCTAATTCTTGCGTAGCCCGTTTTAACTTCAAGGCAGCGTTTCTTGCTTAAGTACTTTTAAAACAGTTATGATTCCAAAAACCTTGTGTCAGCAGCAGGTCCAGGGCTCCAGCTGCTTTTACACGAGCTGCGTTCAGGTAGTTGTAAAAAAGATACTAGGTGTGAACGTATGCTTCAGGTTGTGTTTATGGTCCAATGCTCTCTGCACTACATTTTTCAAAAAGACAATTTGGGCTTTATTTTCTGTTTTTGGGATGGATGGATGGATTTATTCTGACTCCTCCCACATCACTCTTGTGCACATCTGTTTAAAAGAATTGCTGTTTTAATTTTTCAACAAGACCATGTAGAAAGCTCATTTATCATCGGTCCTTTTTTTTTTCTCATTAACATTTTGGCATGTTTCCCTGCCGTCGTTGGGAGTGTGAATGAGTGGCTGAGTCATGACCAACCTGTACCTCTGCCTGTGTGTGTCCATCGGTCCACTCCTGGTCCTTGGTTGTTGCCATGTCCTTCCTTCACTCTGCATTCTGCTCCCTGCATGCCAGGTTGCCTGTGTTGCTACTGTGTGTTGTTCACTCAAATGTGGTCTTACTGCCAACAGGTATCATTATTGTGAGAAGTGCTTCAATGAGATCCAGGGCAACAGCGTGACCCTGGGGGATGATCCATCTCAACCAGCAACGTAAGTCTCGGTACACCAGCTGGTGAACGTTTTTGATCCTCGTTCTCTTTCCAGGAGATCCATGAACCAATGTAAACTTTTTTTGTTTCTTTTCATCCAGGTTGATATCAAAAGATCAGTTTGAAAAGAAGAAAAATGACATGTTGGACCCTGAACCGTGAGTACCGTCTGGACCGTAGCGACAGTTTGACTCGACCCTTTGTGATAGCAGTAAAGCTTCTATGTGGGTTTTATGAAAGAGATAAACAATTCTGTTTTCTGTTTAGGTTTGTTGAATGTAAAGATTGTGGAAGAAAAATGCATCAGATTTGTGTTCTTCACTATGATGTGATTTGGCCATCAGGGTGAGTCTTACTGTGGCTTTTTGACAGCTGCTTGTAACTGATGCATGTTTATTCTATTGGAAGTTTGATTGTGCTAGTTTTTGCAGGTTGACATTAAGAATTGATCTTTCTTTTTTCTAGTTTTATTTGTGACAATTGTCTAAGAAAGTCTGGTAAGACAAGAAAAGAAAACAAGTTCTCAGCCAGAAGTAAGTTTTACTTAGCAAACCTTCCACGATATTACTTATCAAATGTAACAATTTTTTTTTTCGATTTTAAAACATCCATATTGATTGTAATGTGTTTTTTAAGGGTTGCAGTGCACAAGGTTGGGGACATACATTGAGGACAGAGTGAACAAGTACTTGAAAAGGCAGAACCACCCAGAAGCTGGTGAAGTGTTTGTGCGAGTAGTAGCCAGCTCTGACAAAACTGTAGATGTGAAGCCTGGCATGAAGTCGAGGTAATACACTCATCTCCCCTTTTTCAGTTTTAGATCCAACAGGAGGAGAAGGCCTGTTTCCTGGTACTAAACTGCATCCCACTTCAGAAATGAAAGATGTAACCTTTATGATTTCATCCACAGGTTTGTAGACTCAGGAGAAATGGTGGAAAGCTTCCCTTACAGAACCAAAGCACTTTTTGCATTTGAAGAAATCGACGGTGTGGATGTTTGTTTCTTTGGCATGCACGTACAGGAGTATGGCTCAGAGTGTTCCTTTCCTAACACAAGGTAATTCTATGTTTTAAATAAGAATAATACACATTTTGGTATTATATGTGCTGTATCCTTTCATTAAATTTACAATTTTTGTCTTTCAGACGAGTTTACATATCATACCTCGACAGTATTCACTTCTTCAAGCCACGTTTGCTAAGGACTGCAGTGTACCATGAGATCTTGATAGGCTACCTGGAGTATGTAAAGAAACTTGGGTGAGTGAAGACCTGCTTCACACCAAGTATTGGTTTATTCCTTTTAGGGATGCGTTGATGCCGATACCAGCATGGGGTTTTCAGGCCGGTAGCACGTGCGTGTACTACAAGACCGATACCAACGTGAGCTTTGTTTCCCTGCTCCCCGGCAAACAGCCACCACGTTAAGTTTGAAGAAGAATTTGAAGTTGCTGTACGGCTGTTATTTAAATCTATGAAAAAGAGTGTTTCAATGCCAGCAAAATACAAAAAGAGGATAGTTATATAGTAGTAAAATTCACTCTTTAAATATATTTATTTAATATGCCTAATGACAGCTGTCGTTAAAACTGAGGTAAAAGCAAAATGAAAAGCAAGTAAAAGAAGAACATTTAAAAGGAGAGGGAAGAAAAAGCCCTGCACTTGCTAAGAATTACAACAAATCTGAAGGAAACACGTCAGAACTTTGTGGTGCTTAAAGGCCCGCCTTGACCAAAATAACAATGTATCAGTTAGTTTTAAGGAGTGTCATGACATTTATTAGGACTCGTATCGGTACTTGGTATCAGTGAGTACTCAAATGTAATGTATGGATGCATCCCTAATTCTTTTGACCCCATCTGTATCATTCTTTCATGAGCAAAGTGACTAAAACTTCAATTTCTCACCAGATATGTGATGGGTCACATCTGGGCATGCCCACCAAGTGAAGGAGATGATTATATTTTCCACTGCCACCCTCTGGACCAGAAGATCCCCAAACCCAAGAGACTTGTAGAGTGGTACCGGAAGATGCTGGACAAAGCATTTGCTGAGAGAATCCTACACGACTACAAGGTCAGAAAACTACCTCGACCAAGGGTTTCTCACTAGTGCCATTGCAGGAAGTATTTTTGATCGTTATAGTTGTGCAGAAAATCTTAACGTTTAAATTGGTTCAGCAAATTACAAGGAGGCTGTAAATTTGTAGATATCATAGTTTAATTCCAGTGCATACAGAAAGATGAATAGAATAGATCCAAGTTAGAAAAATATGTTAAAAAAATTTTTTTGGGGGGGGGGGGGGGGGCAGTTAGATAGTGAGGACTTCACTGTTAACTATGTGTTGAAATATTGCAGATTATTTTAACTCTATAAACATCAAAGTCGCAAAATTGCGACAAGCGTCATTCTGGGTTTAAGGAGCCACAGCTGCAAATATAATCCCTCGTGAAGTCAATGCTTTCCACCAGAAGATATTGGAGATTTAACTTCAATCTGAACAACACTTATGGATGTCTATAGACATTTTTAGAGTCTGTAACGTTTGAAAAACGCTTCTCATCAGAAGGGTTCTGGTCAAAGAGACGAGTGGAGCACACATAGGGCGAATACTAATGCTGACAGGTCTGTTCATTGTTGACAAAGGTCTTTGACTAGTAACGGCTGACTCTGAAGAGGAATATTCACCCTCTGATATTCACTCCTCCAGAGAGTGATGCTGCAGCAGAGTCTGTGTGCTACATAAGAGTAAACACGCTTCACAAACATGATCTGTAGCTTATTTTGCCGTGTTCAGGACATGGTGGGTGTAGAAAGGATGGGGAAAACATTACTAATGGTGACGGACGTAGTGGGAATGTAAAAAAGGAAAGAAAAGCCATAAATGGGGGCAGGCGCGGTAGATACGTCACAATCTATATGATTATTCCACCCATTCCAGCCATCTGGTCCACATAAGGAACTTTCTTTGGATCAAATAACCTTTACATATGAGGCAAGGTCGACGCTGAAGCTGAATAAGCTCAAACACCTGGCAAATAAGGCTATAAAGCATTCTCTTGAGTGAGGCCAATATATGTATAAAAAGCAATATAAACAATAAGAAAATTAAATAAAAATGTTAAAATAACTTCATATTTTTATATATAAGTTAAAAATATAATAATATGACAATTTCAAAACAGCATGTAAAAATAAGGAGCGTCTGTAAAAATGATGCATTCGGGTCCTACTGAAGATTTTTCTCATTTAGTTTACCTTGATCTCTAACCATTTCAAGCTACAATCTTTTTAAGTCCCCTTAGTTGTCACATGTGTGTGTGTGTGTGTGTGTGTGTGCGTGTGTGCGTGCGTGTGTGTGTGTGTGTGTGTGTGTGTGTGTGTGTGTGTGTGTGTGTGTGTGTGTGTGTGTGTGTGTGTGTGTGTGTGTGTGTGTGTGTGTGTGTGTGTGTGTGTGTGTGTGTGTGTGTGTGTGTGTGTGTGACATTTGTTCTCTGCATTTGACCTGTACCCTGGGGGAGCGGTGAGCTGCAGACACCGGGTGTGTCCCAATCCACGGGAAGGATTCTTGTAAGAGCGCATTTTGAGGTCGATGTCACAGTGCAGCGACGAGTACTGTCCGAATTCCAAAAACACTCATTCTCGCGTCCTCAAATGTGTCCTTGCTCCGCCCACATTTCGAGGACGGGTCTGTTGTATCCTCACAGAACAAGGCTATCCCACCATGCTTTGTGCGCCGGCTCTGGATTTTCAACAGGAAGAGAAAATGAGGAGAGCTACGAAGTTTTAAACGTAAGTTTGTTAAAAACTAGCCGTAGAAAACTAAAAGCTTAAAGTGGTTCTGTTTATAGACAATTTTCGTTTATGTATTTGTTTTTTAAATTACATTTTAGGCAGAAATCAGCCAGAACGGGTTTGTATCGCAGGTCCCGTAGTTATTCCCGTGTGTGTGTGTGTGTGTGTGTGTGTGTGTGTGTGTGTGTGTGTGTGTGTGTGTGTGTGTGTGTGTGTGTTGTGTGTGTGTGTGTGTGTGTGTGTAGAGAGAATTAAACTTGTCATTTGTTTTAAGGAACACAGAGCAAATAAGCATTTTTATTAAGCTTAGAGGTGAAGAGTGAAGCTGTTTACACACGACCACAGAAGTTCATCGTGTGTTCTGCTGTGAAAAGTAGTTTTACATTCAGGGATTTACACAGCTGACACATTTTAATGAAGTTAAAAAATTTTGTGTGAAGAATATAATTTTATCTTCTCATGTGGATAAATGTAAAAATGTGTTTATTGCCTTTTTGTCACCTGTGATCTGATTTTCTCTGTTTAGGACTGCAGGTGTCCAGGGTCAGGAGAGGCTTTACCTGTTGGTCCTCCTGGGAGAGAGGCCTTCTACTGTCATCATGTTAATGTTATTTAGCTGTTTGATATTTGAACACATTTATTAAAACAAATACTAACTGGTAACTCTTTTGATCATTGATTTTATCACCAGTTTTATTATTACAGATGTTTTTGAACATGTTACATGAACAGAAAATGAAAATATGGTAAGGAGACAAGATCATTTATAATAGGTTACACTTATTTACAGATCAAAACCAGTATGGACCAGTTATGTACGATTAAAGCAGGATTAACCTGAGTGACTCTTCCTGGATTATTTATTTAAACTGAGTGAGCAGGAGGTCTTTGGCAATGCAGCTGGATCTGCTGTAGGAGGATCCAGATGTGGATGAGCGCTAGAACAGACCCATAGCTGGACGTTTCTGGTCAGAGGAACATCATACAGGACGGTCTGCAGAGAGAGCTTTGGGACGCTTCCACTCGCTGTCCACTCCACCGTCCATCTACAGGGCCTGCTGGGCTGGCTCAGTCGACAGCTGTTACATCTCTAAGATGTATTCAGAAATATGAAATGAAGAGATGGTTTATGGATCCAACCATAGTGTTTTTAATAGAGGTTCCTACATAAATGACTTACCTGTAGTGGTGGTTTGCTGGTACCTCCTGCAGGACAGAGCACCACTGTCCTCCACACACATCTTCCTCAGGCTCATCCTCCAGACCCACAACTTCACCGGCACAGATGCAGATGTGCAGCACAGTGCATGCATGTAATAGATTAAAAAAGGTTTTTTATTGAAAAATGTAAAACAAAACATATAACCTGCAGTACACTGGTTCTGTTCAGTTTAAAGAAAAGCAGCAGGGAATAGTTAAATAAAAACTACAGAGAATTTACATTTTTTTAAGACAGATCCAATCATTATTAGGCTTAAGTTGAATAAACAAATGCACATTGAAAACACTTCAATGCTGTTTTATTAAAAAAAACTTTTTTAAAGCATTTTACCCCATTTGGTGCAAAAAAAGAAGTTCTAAGGTCCAGTTTACATTAGAAAACATCCTACTGCATTCAACATTTATAATGTATTTGGTTTATATTAATTACCTACATGTCAATACTCTGTAGAAATGTGTTGTGTATGTCTAACAAGTTCATTCTGTAGCTTAAAACATACATGAAACCATCTAAAGTTAACATGTAAGTCCTGAAAGCTTCTAGAATAAACTAAACTACTTTACATGAAAACGGTTGTGAACAAACGCTGCTGATGGAGGTGAAGCTGCTGTAGCTCCTTAATATTCCTGCTCCATTTTCATTAGCTTTAGCATTTTTCCTTTGCGTGTAGCTGCCGCCATGGCTGTGACGGAACCTTTGGGCCACCGTAGAGGTGAAGGCTAGACTGTCCGAGTTCAGAGCCGCTGGGTTCCGGTCTTAGTGGTCGAGCAAGGACCCGGCCTTGCTAGACCGACGAGGACCTGTACTCATATGCATCCTTCCCGTGGATTCGGACACACCCACAGCCACGCTCGAGAACCATTTGGTGGTTTTACCCCCAATCCAACCCCTTAAGCCCGAGTGTCAACTAGGGAGGCATTGGGTCCCATTTTATTTAAGTCTTTGGAATGATCCGACCAGGATTTGAACCCTGATCGCCCAGTCCATGGGTGGACACTCTACCACTAGGCCACTGAGCTCGTCATTTCAAATAGTCATGTCAAAATTGAAATTTTATTGACAAAAAATCTGGTGTCCAAAGGGTCAAGATATCCCAGTAACAGCATCGGTAGGCAATAAATAAATTATCCACCAGAACCAGTGTCGCACGCCGCAACCCCCACCAACGCATCTCGCCGTGAGGGGCTCTTCCGTACGATCTTAGCCCGAACCGAGTAAGCATGACGGGTCGAGTCTGATTGGGTCTGACAGCAGAGAGAGAGTGACTGGCCTCAGTCGGATCAGATGAGGATGCTCCTCAAACCAGACACAATGGAAACTTTATTCATCTATGGTGGTAAACAAACGCTAAAATGTATCCTCCAATGATGTTGGGCGAGCTGGTTTAGTGCTTAAACACCGTCTGGTCATTTCGGTTCGGTCTTTTGGACTTGTATAGACTACTGCGCTGCTTCAGGGTGGGTGAGGATGGGGCCCAACACGGGGAGATGAGAGCTCTGAACAAGAAAACAGTCAGAAATGAGAAGCTAAAGCTAAGCTTTATAATTTTGTTTCATAAACCAGGGTGACTGCAAATTATGTTAACTTTGTTAGATGTTTTTTTCTTGTTTTCTGTCTGCACCCCAGAGACACAAGGAGATAATAAAACCAAGGACAGGAGGTAGTGGCAGGTTAGCTGAGACCATTGGGTTCAAATAAAGCAACAAACCGCATCAAACATTTCAGTTCATGTTATTTGATCTTATTTCATTGATAACTGATTTAGTTTAAAAAGCACTAGAATGTGGGAAATGACATCTGCTCACTAAAATATTTCTGTGGGAGACCCCCAGACCAACACCCCCTCACCCCAGATCCTCTCTGTCTCCTTCCTCAGAGCTGAGGACAAAGCTGGGACTTGTGGCTAGACGTGTCTCAGCCTTGTCCTCTTCTCTGGAGGAGCAGAAACTTGTTAGGAGAAGGTAAACAAAGGCTGTGCTACTCTGTTAAAATAAGAATCCCAACTTGATATAGAATCAGATGTGTTTGAGCAGGGACACGAAGAAAACATGCAGCCACCGTGGTCTTCAAGGACCAGGTCTGCTGCCCCGGTTGGTCTAAGGGTACTCACCTTTTTCACCCATGACCTGTTTTCATGTCTGACTACAAAGTATTCAGTTTGGCTCAAATACTTACAGTAAACCTATTTATATTGGCGAAAGGTTCACAACCTTATTGTCTGACGGAAGCTTTGTTTGTCTGTTTTTAGGATATTTTTAAGCAGGCAACAGAAGACAGGGTGACCAGTGCCAATGAGCTGCCGTATTTCGAGGGTGACTTTTGGCCCAATGTTCTTGAGGAGAGCATCAAGGAGCTTGAGCAGGAGGAGGAAGAAAGGAAGAAGGAAGAGAACACAGTTTCCTCTGAGACAACAGAGGTATGTCTAATTGGTGTAAAGCAAAAGGAGCTTAAAACCTGGGGCATACCGGAGGCGGATGCGCCGTCATTTAAAGTAGAAGCCATTATAGTTAATGGGAGTGGGCACACTGGAAGCGCCGGGCCTAGGCACTGAAGATAGGCACTAGTTCTATCGCAAGCACTGCGGCGGCGCCACAGCTGTTTACAACACTGTTTACTTAACTGTTCAACTGACATTACAAAGCAGAACGGCTTTACGGCACAAACTCAACCGCCGGCACAACCCCAGCCGCAGTTTTGATGACTTTAAAGTACTTTTGATCTTAAAATATTCTAATAAAGAGCATACTTAACCACTGTTAATGAATTAGCGTCTCACAAAACACGACGGCAAGTCTGATCACGAATAAACAATAGAGTCACTTCCTGCTTCCTGTTCTCGAGTCCCGCGTGATGTTGTGACTATCGCACCACTTTCCAAGAAGCGCTCAGTGGTGCGTCCTGTGTGACCACTTGACTTCTCAAAATCTCGGGCGCAGCGCATCCGCCTCCGGTGTGCCCCAGGCTTAAGTCAGGCCCATCTACTTCCGGACCGTGGGTCCCCAGAAGAATGGGAAAAATGAATGCATGTCAGTGAGGCCAAAAATTCCATTTTCTAATCCCGTTTAATGTGCCATGGATTGATGAATCTTAAAGATGCATTCTGATGCCAAAAAAGCGCTTATTTTCAAGCAGCAACAAAAGTTATTTTAGGTTTTGTGTGGAAATATGTCCAGGACTGCCCAGCACATCAAACCAGACGCAGAGAAAGGAAAAGGAAAACGGGTGTAAGGTGGACCACTTATTTAACAGCATAACACACTGCCCAGGCATGAAAAACGTCACACACTGTAGTATTCGCTGCCTTTGGCTTTGATTACGGCACGCGTTCGCTGTGGCATTGTTCCGATAAGCTTCTGCTGTGTCACAAGTTCATTTCCATCCAGTGTTGCATTAATTTTTCACCAAGGTCTTGCATTGATGATGGTAGAGTCTGACCGCTGCACATAGCCTTCTCCAGCACACCCCAAAGCTTCATGGGGTCTCGAACAGACTAACATCTCTTCCACGACCATGCGATTTGTCCTTCTACGTGGTTAAGAAATGAGAAGCAACTTGTTGCACCAGCTGGAAGATTCCAGATGGGGACTTTTTCTGTGGGTTGAGTTGTGTGTTAGCGTTTCTCCGGTACAAACCAGGAATATTTTCGGGGATGCTCTGATCACGTGATTGGAAATCTGACCCAATCACATAATTTTCAAAGAATCTGGAATCGGGTGGTAAAGATCAGATATAACCTTATAAAACAACAAGCATGCCCTTTTAAATTCAACCCGAGATAGATTTTCAAACACACTGACGATGGCTTAGTTTTAATTTAAATAAGTTCCACTGCATCAGTATTCATTATTTTATCGGTGACAACACTTACACTGTTAGCTAGCAGGCTAATGCAGACCTAATATGTTGCCTCGGTACAGAGAAAATGTCTGCAGTTTGGACGTATGTAAACCGAACAGCGAAGGCAGTGCAATAGTTACTCGTAATTTGTGCAAATTTGGCATTTCACGGACAGCAAAACGGTCACTGTCAAGATAGCAGGATTTTTCTCACTGGAAGTTCTGTTTGTGGTTGCAAACATCTGCTTTTGCAGTCTCCTGGAGCTGTGGTCTGAGCTGCTTTCTCATCACTACTTTACACACGCAGCTCTCAGGTGTTTTGCAGAAAACGGCGCACCTGCGTACCCTGTCACGGGAACATGCATATCTCAATACAGCCACATACGGTTTAGACAGTTTGAAATATTAGCGCAGAGACAATTTTTAAATATTCGTCCCTTTAAAACGTTTATCAATGCACTTCCTGAACAAGTGATGCCTTTTGGCAAATAAACTCAAGAAATTACATAAACACAATAAATAATAATAAAGAAAAACAAAAGACAGCTTGGATGGATTGGGACTCATCATTAACAGATTCACAAAATCAAATGACTCGGACTTGGATTGTGGGCAAAACAAACGTGATTGGAACATTCCTAGTGCAAACTGCTTTTCTAAACGTTTATGTCTCTGCTACAAGGGAACCCCAACTGACAGCAAGAATGCCAAAAAGAAGAATAACAAGAAAACCAACAAAAACAAGAGCAGCATTAGTCGGGCTAATAAGAAAAAGCCGGGGATGCCAAATGTGGCCAATGATCTGTCACAGAAACTCTATGCCACAATGGAGAAACACAAGGAGGTGAGTAACCTTATCAATGTTTTTGCAAATCTTTTCTTCTTGATAAGATTCCAGTAGATAAAACATTAGTTATATGACTGTCTCTAATGTTTCTACACCTGTTTCCCTTCTTTTGTTCTGCCAGGTGTTTTTTGTTATCCACCTCCATTCTGGGCCAGTCATTAACACCTTGCCACCCATAATGGACCCTGATCCTCTGCTGACCTGTGACCTCATGGATGGGCGTGATGCTTTTCTGACTTTAGCCAGGGACAAGCACTGGGAATTCAGTTCACTTAGGAGATGTAAGTGGAGTACAATGTGCATGTTGGTGGAGCTGCACAATCAAGGTCAAGACCGCTTTGTGTACACTTGCAACGAATGCAAGCATCACGTGGAGACGCGCTGGCACTGCACTGTTTGTGAGGTAAGACTTTGTGTAATGCAGTAATGTTAGGGAATCAATGTTTGTTTGAATGCAAGTTCATAACTTTAATGCGGTCTCTTTCTTCTGTCTCCAGGACTATGACCTATGCATTAACTGCTACAACGCTAAGGGCCATGAGCACCAGATGGTGAAATGGGGTCTAGGTATAGATGATGACAGCAATAGTCAGGGTGGAGAGGCCTCTAAGAGCCCTCAAGAGAGTCGACGTCTCAGCATCCAGCGTTGCATCCAGTCTCTGGTTCATGCCTGCCAGTGCCGTAATGCCAACTGCTCACTTCCATCGTGTCAGAAGATGAAGAGGGTGGTTCAGCACACCAAAGGCTGCAAGCGCAAGACCAATGGTGGTTGTCCTGTGTGCAAGCAGCTGATTGCTCTATGTTGTTATCACGCCAAACACTGTCAGGAGAAGAAGTGCCCCGTTCCCTTTTGTCCGAACATTAAACAAAAACTCCGTCAGCAGCAGTTGCAGCACAGACTACAGCAGGCTCAGATGATGCGTCGCAGAATGGCCACCATGGCTGGAAGAGGTATGCCTATGCCATCTCCACCTACCTCAGCTACCCCAGATACTCCAAATTCTGTGCAGCAGCCTAATACACCCCAGACGCCGCAGCCCATGCTTAATCAGCCCCAACAGCCACAACCACCAAACCCCGCCAGTATTGCTCAAGGATTCCCAAGCAATGGCCGCACCAGTCAGCCCACAACCCCAGTGCCGCAGGGTAAACCAGGACCTCAGTCATCCCCTCTTCATCAGCAGCTGTCGCCTATGCCTAACATGTCACACCAACAGCAGCCTCAGCCTCCACAGCAGCAACCTCAACAGCAGCTGTTGGCAGCGCTGAAGGTGGCACAGAAGATCGAGATGGTGGCTAAAGCAAAGCAGCAGCAGTCAAATTTTATCATGAATGGGATTCCTTTGAACCAAGCACGCGCGATAAACCCCATGCAGAATCCAATGCAGGTAATGCAGGTGCCAAGGGGATCCCAGGTGATGCAGGCAGTGCCGCAGGGCCAGTGGAGTCTGGCGATGCAGAATCCCCAAGGCCATCAGCCACAGGTCCCACTACAGCAAGGCCCCATGGTCTCTCAACAGGCTCAGGGAACTCCAATGACTCAGCAGGGCCAGATGATGCAGAGGCCTATGATGGCCCAGCAACAAAGTCTTCAAATGCCTGCCGTGATGCCTCCCCAGGGGCCCCCGCAGCAGGGCATGACACCACAGCAGCAAAACATGCCCCGTGGAATGACTGGTAATATTACTCCAAGTGCCCTGCAGGAATTACTGCGAACCCTCAAATCTCCAAGCTCACCCCAACAACAACAGCAGGTCTTGACCATTCTGAAATCCAACCCTCACCTTATGGCTGCTTTCATTAAACAGAGGACAGCTAAATACCAGGCCAGCCAGGCACCACAGCAACAACAACAGGCACAGCAGCAGAACCCCCAAGCTATGCTGAGCCCCCAGGCAGGAATGCAGGCCATGGCAGCCATGGCAAACCAAGCGCAGAGGCCAGTGATGGCTCCTCAGCAGCAGCCGCCTCAACAGCAGGTGGGCCCTCAGGGTATGACGCCTATGGGTTCTCAAGGTCAGATGATGAATCCCTCTCAAAATGGCAATCCTCAGCAGTACCACAGACAGCAGCTGTTCAGGATGCAACAGATGCAGCAGATGCAGCAGCAGGGAGGCTTGCCTCAGGGCCATGGTCAGTTTCCTCAACAGCAGCCAGGCCCACCGAACTTCTCCCAGCTCCGTACGCAGACACAAATGGCTATGCAAGGGGGTGGGGGATCTATAGGACAGCTCCCCACATCGTCCCAGATGGGCCAGCCTGGCATGGGCATGGAAGGGCTCCAGAACCATGTCAAACATCGCATGCTTCAACAACAGATGCTAAAGCAGCAGATGGGCTCTCCAGCGCAGGCTAACTCGATGAGTCCACAACCTCATTTGCTTCAGAGCCAAGGACAGGGAGGAGCCCACGTACCCGGCCAGACCATGGCAAACACTCTGGGAAACCAAGTGCGCTCCCCAGCCCCAGTGCAATCACCCCGCCCACCTTCACAGCAAGCCCCTCATTCCAGTTCCTCCCCACGGATACAGCCCCAGCCATCTCCGCAGCATGGTGCTCTCCACTCCAGTTCTCCTCACCCCAGCCTCGGTCCCATGTCAGGCTCCTTGGAGCAAGGGCACATGGGAGGTCCTGAGCAGAGTGCCATGCTCCCCCAAATTAACACACCAAATCGAGGAGGGTTAAATAATGACATGAGTTTGGTGGGCGACACAACGGGAGACACGCTAGAGAAATTTGTTGAAGGATTGTAGCAATTTGAGACAGAAGGAAGGCCTTGCTGTGTTTTCGGCTGAGAATTTTTTTGTATTTAATGATGTTGAAATCTTTGAAATAAATACAAATGAGTCATACAAGGCCTTCGAACTGTGAACATTACATAGACTACTTTTTCCTACAACACAGAGTGATTTATTAGTTGCTGTTGAAGAGAAAAAACAGACACAAAGAATATATTTTTGGTTCAGACCAGCCTTGCAAGAATTTGCCCTGGTCAACGTGCTGTAATTTGTTTTTCATTTGTTATCATCTGCTCTTGACTTTTTTTAAAAATCGCAAAACACAAAGTAATTTTTGTACCTTTGCAAATTAATATTGTATTTGTGTTGAAATGTCTGTAAAATTTGTCTGTGAATATTTTTTGCCAGGTTTCACTTACTGCTCATTTTTCCTGTTCCTGGCTAATTTATTCTAATAGTCCGTTTTCAAAAGGACTGCCTTTGGGAAAGCCTTAAATTCTTTCCTGTTTGCAGAGTCTAAATGAGAATAACGCATTTGTATAGATCTAGGATGCCTATTGTGCGAACACACACAAACCCGATGTGCTGGTGAAAGAGAAGAGACGTGTTGATGTTCACAGGTGCTGCAATGTTCTTCTCACTGGCCTGTTCCCAGCGTCTGTCTTGCAGATTTAGAAAAGTTGCTTTTTCTTCTTTATTCTAAAGAATCTGTTAAGTACTGAAACTGTTTTTGCCTGTGGTGGGAAGCTGCTGATTTGTGTTCAGAGTGTTGTGTGCATTGTTTTCTCTCACATTAAACTTGAACTGACGAACTATTCTCTAATGTAAATCACGCAGCTAGACAGTACTGTAAATATGCAGAAAATAAGAATGAAATCACTGTATAAACTGGTTCAAATGGCTCATTTTGTACTTATATACCATATTGTTAAATAAACCTGTGTACCGAAGACTATTTCTGATTTAAATGCTGAAACCATCAAACATTTGCTGCACTGCTTTGTGATTTTTATCTTGAGAGGTGCTTCATCTCCTCACGCTTAGACTACTGTAACTCTTTTCACGTGTCTGAGCAGAACCTCCCTGAACCGTCTACAGGTGGTTCAGAATGCCTGTGCTCGGCTTCTGACCAAGTCCTCCAAACACACCCACATCACCCCGCTTCTCCTCCAGCTTCACTGGTTGCCAGTCAACTTCAGGGTTCATTTCAAGATCCTGGTTCTGGTCTATAGGGCCTTACATGGACAAGCACCATCTTACATTGGTGATCTTCTTAGTCCCTACACCCCCAGCAGGTCCCTGAGGTCCAGTGATCAAAGCCTGCTGGTTGTGCAGCACCAGGCTAAAGACCAAAGGTGACAGATCATTTGCTGCTGTGACCCCCAGACTCTGGAACTCTCTCCCCCTTAGCCTGAGATCAGTGGTCTCCTTTAAAAAGCAGCTGAAGACTCACTTGTTCAAGCTGGCTTTTGTATGACCTTCTTCATTACTCTCTTTATTCTGCTCTCCCCACCTATTCACCTTCCTCAGGATCCACTGATTTCCCTCTTTCCTATTCACTTTCTCTCTTAACATTTTTTTAATCACAGTTGTCTATTTTTTGCTCATTTTAAATTTATTTGTAACCATTTTCTAAATTATTTTTTATATTTTTACATTTTTTTGTTTTTGTGAAGCGCCTCGTTATTTTTATATTGAGAGGCGCTATAGAAATTATATATATTTTTTCTTCTATAGAAAATCTTGTAAAGTTTATCAAGCCTAAGCATTTCATACATTTTCTCATAAAATAGATTTTTATTACCATCCTTTCAAGGTGGTGACAGTTGTTTAATTATAGCTGTGAGGAGAGAAAATGTAATATTTGATTTAAGATCCCTAGATTTGCCAACAACCGTGTATTTAACTGGTTTAAGAAGTTGTTTATTTGTTTTCTGCATGGCAAATAATATTTTTCTTTATTTAGGTGGCAGTTTTTTTTCCTTGAGTAGTGAGGATGTATATATTTTGATTATTAAATACAAAGACAAAAATGGATAGCATTTGAATGAGTACTCTTTACATTTCTTATCAGGCAGTTCTCCCGACGCCTTCCTTACGTCATCTTCAGCGTTTTTTCTGGTCCTGCGTGTTCAGCGTGTCCCTCCGTCGGTCAACTGTCTGTCTCATCTTGAGGTCCTCCAGTGGATTTCTGTAATTATGTCCCGCTGTCTCGCCCTGGCGCGGTTCGCTCTCGGTTCTCCGAAAACCGGTTTACGTTTTACGTTCTGTGCGCGAGCTCTGAGCAACCGTCCTGTCTCGCGCTCCTTGGCTGGAGGTAAGAGGTGTTCAGTTGAGTTAGCCTAGCTAGTTGCTCCTAATTTTTTTTTTTTTTTAACAATTATCCAGATTTTCTGCTGTCCAAACCAATACCAACGGACAGCAGATGAACAGATGATGAAACTGGAGCAAATACTTAATCAAGCACAGTGGTATTAATTACCACGGAGAGGCGTTCGCCTCAAGCCAGTCAACGTGAAGTTGGGTGAATTACTGGTGGGGTTGGTTATTTCCATACACACTCGAGTCAACTCGATGTGTTGATGGTCTTTGCAAACAAATTTCATGAGTTCAGGAATATAATAAAATATTACCGCCAACTGGTACCATTGATGCCAGAATCTTATAAGTCTTGTAGTTGCAACACTTTTTCATTCATTCACCAATAAACAAAACACGCCTAACACAAACCAAGATAGATTCATAAAATAACTTGTTTGTACTGTTAACCATAAATAAATGTATCATCCTTTGATTTGTGAGGATCAACAACATTGTAACTCTTAAAACAACCAAATTTAATCCCAAACATCAGAGAGTAGGCTTAACATATTTGTAAAAATCCTCTCAATGGCACTCCTGTTATAAGGCTCACACGCTGGACAGCTGCTGAGGTGGGGCGCCCAGCCCAAGGTATGGAGGTCACCCTGGTCCTGCCTGGGTCACAGCCAGCAGTCCTACTACAGCACTCAGGAGGTTGAGAAGGAGCCAGAGGATGAGCCTCTGCACACAATCATCAGCGATACGGAGTCTGTGCAAGGTGCGTTAGCAGCTGCTGATCCTTCTTGTGCCCACTGAACTTTGAGGCACATGTTTGTTAGTTATGACTTGATTCTTTTTCCCTTGTGGTTTCACAGGTAGTTCCTCTGCACATGAATTTCAAGCTGAAACCAAAAAACTTTTGGACATTGTTGCCAGGTCCTTGTACTCAGAAAAAGAGGTAAAAGGCTGAGTGAGGCAGGGTCAGCGTTTCCTCTCCATCGATTATCCTCTGTAACAGTACACCGATTGTCTGGCTGTGGCTAACCCTCTAGGTGTTCATCAGGGAGCTGATCTCTAACGGCAGCGATGCACTGGAGAAGCTGCGGCACAAACTCATCACAGCTAGTGGAGAAGTGGCTCCAATGGAGATCCACCTGCAAACTGATTCTGCAAAAGGGACTTTTACCATCCAGGTACCCCCAGCACAACAGTGTTGTCAAACAATTTGAAAGTCAACCATAGATTCTGCCCTACTACTGGGTTCTTTCAATGGGTAATGACCAGGTGACAAGAGTAGGATATTTGCACATATAGGATGGACTAGAGCAGTGGTTCCTAACCTGGGCAACTACCCCACAAGGGGGCGCCAAAGCCTCTCAGTGGGTCGCCACTTTAAGGGGTTAAAACTTCATTTATTACTTGTTTATGGCCTACATTTTGCTCACATTTTTTTTCATGAGTGCAAAGTTTACTGATATTAAGACAGGAAATAATTAGTACAGAAAAAGTAACACACTTTTAAGAACATTTTGCTCAGCTCACTGTTTTATTTTCAAGTGTCAAAAGTTCATTAAAGATAGGACTGGTTGATTAATCACAGCCTTTACAGTCAAGGTATCCGCAGATCCTTAAAAAGTCTTAAATTTGATTTTCCAAATTTAAGGCCTTAAAAATCCTTAAAAATGACAAATAACCCTTAAATGCAGTTCCCAAAGGTCTTAAATTACCAAAGACCCAATAAACAAGATTCTTTTATTTCTATAAAAATTTCGTGAGTTTCTAGTTGGTGTTCAGGATTTTTTTTGTGTATGATGTTAGCGTAAGCGGAACCATACACATTCAGTTGGTTGTGAAAGGGGGCAATTTTTAGATGAGCACGTTAGCTGATTAAGCTAGTGGGAGCTTGCGCCATGGGGAAGTTTAATGGTAACAGGATGGCTAATCCCACGTTTGCAACGTGGTTAGCACTGCTTCCAGGCAATAGCTGGAAATTATAGCTTAAATATATATTTAAAAATAGCTTAAATTTGGTCAAAGTGGCCTTAAAAAAGGTCTTAAAAAGTCTTAAATTTGGCACCCATAAACCTGCAGATACCCTGACAGTAAATAATCTAGTATAAACAGTAATAAACACATTTAAGTACATTTTGCTCAGTGTATTTTTGATTTGTCAAACGTTTATTGAAAGGAATGATTGATTTATCAGTGTTTACAAGAAACAATGTGTTCAGAAATGTAATACAAACTGTTAAGCACATTATGCTCTGTTTGGTTTTGTTAATGACTTTGTTCTGTACTGGAGCCTACTATTACTGTTACCTATTGAATCAAAGCATATTAAAATGTGCTTGAACAATTTCATCATTTCTTAATAATGTTTGTACTGGAAGAGAGAATGGGAGGGGGTCGTCAAAAATTTTACTGGTAAAAAAGGGGTCCCTTGGGGAAAAAGGTTGGGAACCACTGGACTAGAGTACTGCTCCTGTTTGATTTTTGCCCTGGTTTCTGTTGTGAGCTGCCATCTTCTGGATGATTGTGGAACAGCATGCTACAGTTGTTTCATTATAAGTGACTTGGGCTGTTTTTCCCTTCTAGGATACTGGAGTGGGTATGAACAAAGAGGAGCTGGTGGCCAACCTGGGTACCATTGCCCGCTCTGGTTCAAAGGTGAGTCGTGGTCTGTAAAACTAATGAGACAGTTTTTTTTAATACACAGCTCTGACTTTGGTTTAGGTGTGTAATATTTCATATTTTATTGGTTGAAACTTTCCAGTGGCTTGGAGGACGTACAAAGGAAAATCCTGGAATTTTTAAGTAGATCAGAGACATTTGTGCTTCTTTACATTTTAGGCATTCTTAGACGCGCTGCAGAACCAGGCGGAGGCCAGCAGCACCATCATCGGTCAGTTTGGAGTCGGCTTCTACTCTGCCTTCATGGTGGCCAACCATGTAGATGTCTTTACCCGTTCTGCAGAACCCGATGCCCCTGGGTACAAGTGGTCTTCAGATGGGTGAGAGCAATAAAAACACTCCTTTTTCTGTTAAAAGAAGTTGGGAAAGTCTTGATGTAATCCTGACATTTCTGCTCTCTCCTTCAGCTCAGGAGTGTTTGAGATTGCCGAAGCCAGCGGCGTCCAACAGGGAACCAAAATCGTGTTGTACCTCAAAGACGATTGTAAAGAGTTTTCCTCTGAGGACAGAGTGAAAGGTGAAACTGCCTCTGTGGCTCTAATAGATAAATCACAATCTCTGCTGTATCAAAAATGAATGCTCCTCTAAATGGAAAACAATCACTGATTGTGTTTCAGAGGTTGTAACAAAGTACAGCAACTTTGTGAACTATCCCATCTTCCTGAACGGACGGAGGCTCAACACTCTCCAGGTGAGCTGTGTACATCTGTTAATTTGACACTAAAAGCTTTGTAACTTTCAGAATAAAATTTCTACTTCTGTGGGTGGAAGTTAAAAAATGACCAGAATTCTTAGATCACATATGTCAGAGTCAAGGCCGCGGAGCATTTTTATGTGGCCCGCGAGATAAATATCAAAAATATATTAAAACTGGCCTGCTGGCCGATTTTACCGCAACGACTACAACTCCCAAGATGCTTTGCGGCGCCAGCGTGGAGCAAACGCGCCCCCTCCTTTGTGTTTTTTCAGCGCTGAGGCAGTCAGAGGTAGTAGAGTGTCTGCAGCTCCGCTGTCTCGGACAAACCACTCCTCTCACTCAGCGCCGAGTTCACTCAGCTGTTTTCTGACGTTGAAGCCCAGAAACGGAGATTCTAGCCGCTCAGTAATGTGTTCACGACTGAAAGAGAAAGTTTTCAAACTAACGTCCAGACAGAGCTGATATAACTCCAGCGACACGCTCAAACCAGCACGACTCTGTGGCTGCTGTCGTGTTTCCTCCCTGACACACAACGTGGTCAAGCTGCTCATCAGCACAAACCTATGTGAGCTCCTGTTGTCATCTAATGTTGTCATTATTATGATGAAGATGAACAAAACAACAGGAGTCTCCTCCTCAGCTCAGATCAACCCCATGATGCAGGTATCTGGCTGGAACAGGTGAGCATCACAGTAAACCAGTGGAGCAAACTGAGCTTTAAATATGCTGGTTTTATGCTCTTTTTCTGCTCCAAAACATGAAAGTTAACAGGTGAGATGTTGCATTTTCATTTAAGATAAAATGATATTTTTATTTTGTTGTTGGCACGTGAGAAAAGATTTAACCTACAGTAAACAGGAAGTGGAAAGGCTGCAGATAGATGAATAGAATAGAAAATCCCTTTATTGTTCCTCAGTGGGGAAAGCTAGATGTCACCGCAGCGATATTACAGGAGAAAAAAGGAGGATAAAAATAAGAAAAATGAATAAACAAGAAAACATAAATCCTGAATAGATTTTAAAAATGCTGAATATACCACAAGTAATGAATACCACTGATGTGTTTTATTTGTAACTGACTTGCTCGTGTGTAATTTGGTTATTCCACATTCAGTGTTAATGCAGAAATATGTTTGTTTCCAAATTTAAAGGTTCAAAATTGCATACATGTTGATAAAGAAAACGTGCAAATTTGCCGTCACTTTTTCAAAAAATATTAAGTTTGGCCCTCGACTCCGTCCCAGAGTTTCATTTCGGCCCCTTGTGAGTTTGAGTTTGACACCCCTGTCTTAGATGATTTCAGTTCTAACATTTAAACGTGCAGCCAGAGCTCTGAGCTATGACCAAACGCCAACAGCTCTCTGTAATTGTTACTCCATCCTTCAGGCTTTGTGGATGATGGATCCTAAGGAGATCAGCGATTGGCAGCATGAGGAGTTCTACCGTTATGTCGCCCAGGCCTATGACAAGCCCCGCTACACTCTGCACTACCGCGCCGACGCCCCGCTCAACATCCGCAGCATCTTTTATGTTCCTGAGTCGGTGAGGAGTGTTCATGTGACACCGGGTGGCGTTGGTTAGCGTTAAACAACAATCAGATACCACACAAATGCTGGTACTGAAACGTTCCACACATTTGTCATTATTCCCACGAGTAAAGAAACCCTTGTTATGTTTACAGAAGCCCAGCATGTTTGACGTGAGCAGGGAGATGGGCTCCAGTGTGGCTCTGTACAGCAGGAAGGTCCTGATCCAGACCAAAGCCACCGACATCCTGCCCAAGTGGCTGCGCTTCCTGCGAGGTCTGCATCGTCCCAGTTCCCTCAACGCATCCACACGTTGTTTTGCTGTCACGTTAAATCTGCTTTTGTGTGTGTGTGTGTGTGTGTGTAGGTGTGGTGGACAGTGAAGATATCCCTCTGAACCTGAGCAGAGAACTGCTACAGGAGAGCGCCCTCATCAGGTACAGCTCCAGCATTCTTAGATTTGATGTTTTCCCTCACTTTTTCAACGTGTTTCTCTTTAATCAGCTTTTGAAACATTATTTTATTGTAAGCTCTTACCTATTTAAAGCAGATACCTGGAGTTTTTCTCCGACGACACCATCTCGAGGCAGAAATAATGTATTGCACCATAAGCCCATCTACTTTTCTGATCATGGCTGGAAGCAACACACGCCTCTAGCCGGCCACCAGAGCTAAAACGCATAGTTTTACGATTATTATTCTCATGTTATGCTGCTTATACATACGTATACCATAAGATGATTGTTGTCCTTCAGGAAGCTTCGTGATGTCCTGCAGCAGCGAGTGATTCGTTTCCTACTGGACCAGAGCAAGAAGGACCCAGAGAAGTACAACAGGTTCTTTGATGATTATGGCCTCTTCATGAGGGAGGGAATCATCACTGTCCAGGAGCAGGATGTCAAGGTGCCCGCTTTTAGAAGTCTAACTGCGTTACCGTCTCTGAGGGCTTACGCAGCAGTCCCTCTCCTTGCTGTCCTTCTGTAGGAGGACATTGCCAAGCTGCTGAGGTTTGAGTCGTCCGCTCTACCAGCCGGCCAGCACACCAATCTGATGGAGTACGCCTCCCGCATGAAGGCAGGCACAAGAAACATCTACTATCTGTGCGCCCCCAACAGGCATCTGGCAGAGCACTCCCCTTACTTCGAGGCCATGAAGAAGAAAGACATGGAGGTAGGACGTGTGATAGGGCTGCACAATAAATCGCAAATATATCGTTATCGCGATATCAGCATGCACAATATGCATATCGCAAAGAACAGATAAATATCGCAATGAATGGTCAGCTCAAATGTTTGCTACACATAATGCATTCTGTCAGTCAAACGGAAGCATGATGATTTTTTAACAAATCAAATAGAGCTCTTCACCCATTAGGCCAACTGGGTGGGTTCTCATTGGTTAGATGTCCGCCCTCGAGGCGGACAGGACTTAATTTTGATGAGTAGAAAACACCTGAGTTAGCTTTGTTTTGCTCTTTCTGCTGATCTTGCTTTTCCCGGGACCCACTGGTTGCCTTTTCTTCATTTTCTTTTTCCCTTTCCTGACATCTGTTGCTTTTCTCATTTTTATGATATTTTTTTGGTAATTTTTTTCATTTCTTTGTTTTTGATTATTTTTGTTTCTGAGTGTTTATTTATCGCAAGTAATATCGTCATCACAATATTGATCTCTGTTCTCGCATATCGCAGGTTTTCCTAATATCGTGCAGCCCTAACGTGTGACTAACATGAGAAAACTGTGATTTACATTTTATCTTTATTTTCACCTTTTTCGGTTTTATAACATGAACGTGTTTGTTTGTTCAGGTCCTGTTCTGCTATGAGCAGTTTGACGAGCTCACGCTGCTCCACCTCCGAGAGTTCGACAAGAAGAAGCTGATCTCAGTTGAGACGGACATCGTGGTGGATCACTACAAGGAGGAGAAGTTTGAGGACAGTAAGCCAGGTCTGCACCTCGTTCCATCTGATTTTCAGTAGAGCGGACACGTCTGATGGTCAGAGCTGTGATCAGGACTTTTCTCTGCAGAGACGGAGCGGCTGACGCAGGAGCAGGCTGACGATCTGATGGCCTGGATGAAGAACGCGTTGGGTCCAAGAGTCACCAACATAAAGGTACCAGGAGGCCTCGGAGGCATGCTCACTGGTCTGTCCCAAAGTAGTTGTAGTACTTCAGCTATTCTTTGTAGTCCCAACTCTGGTTTTTTGTTACAAAAAGCAAACTTAAAATGTTTACAAAGCTCCTGAAGTTAAACGAGTTAAAATTGGCTCAATGTGAAAACCGCTTATCCCAAAATGTCACTTTTTCCCCCTTTGTGGGTTTAATTGTTTGCATATTTTCTAAAACATTAAACATCTGGGGCTTCATGATTTTAACTTTCATTCTTAAACCAGCCTGAAAACATCCTAAATGGGACGTTTTGCTCACATGCTGGACCTCCTCTGCCCCTCAGCTGACTCCTCGTCTGGACACCCATCCTGCCATGATTACAGTACTGGAAATGGGAGCTGCACGCCACTTCCTCCGAACCCAGCAGCTGGCGCGCTCTGCTGAGGAGAGAGCTCAGATCCTGCAGCCCACACTGGAGATCAACGCAGGGTGAGAGCTGCAGCACGTCGACGTAGTTGCATTATCTGTAGAACAGCCATGTTGTCCGTCCACCTGAGCTGCAACATTTCTCCTTCTAGACATGATTTGATCAAGAAGATGCACGCTCTGAAGGATACCGATTCTGAGTTGGCTGGATTGTTACTGGACCAGGTACTTTGGGTTATATGTGCCATTTTCATTTATGCTTGGTAATAAGGATGGATTGGATTTATAAAGTGCTTTTCGTTATTCACACACTGCCGGTGATGGTAAGCTACTATGTAGCCGCAGCCGCGCTGGGGCGGTCTGGCAGAGGCGAGGCAGCCATTTTGCCCCTCTAACAACCACCAGGTGAAGGGTCTTGCCCAAAGACACAACAGCAGGATACGCAGGCGGGAGCTGGGATCGAACCCACAACCCTCTGATCACGAGGCAGCCCGCTCAACCTCCTGAGCCACTGCTGCCCCAATAAGTTCAGGCTTGAGGGTTTTTCCTTCTAACAAAACGAGGTTAATGGAACCTTCTTGCATGGATGTTTTACCATAAAATCTTCACTTAAGCTTCAAGCTTCCACTTATTCACTGCCAGCCGTTTTCTGATCTGACTGCCAGCGCTTTTGAGCGTTTCTACTGTTTTTGAAGAGTCACAGAACGTTGTGCTCTATGATCATGTAAACACCAAAACTACCGAAAGAGAGTCGACTCACTTCTTACACCAGGGAGAATCGGCGTGTTTCTAGCTTTTTCCATTCGTTCACAACCTGTTGACAAAGCGTAAGCTGCAGGAGCCTTTCCGGTTCGCGCCTGACTTTTTTTCACAACAGCGTCTCAAAACGATATCATAATTCATAGATTTCTTGCTTCCTGATCATGTGACGTGACTCACACAGGTGAAGATCAGCTTTAGAGCCGTGCTGTTTACTCTTACGGTGCGGGGGCTCGTTCCCAGGCCCGCCCCGTTAAAATAAACGTCTTTGTCCATGAATAAGTCAAACATCTGCATGATAAAAAGCAGCACGTGAGAATATAAGATGCTTGAAGTTTAAAGGATTACAAACACGCATTTAAAAAGCTGCAGGTTTACCAGGTTGTGAATTGGAACTGAAGCAGATCTACCTTTAAAAACAAGACCTGTACACAAGGGCTGTGATCCCACCAGCTTCGGTGTTTTTACACGTCTCTGTGTTTTCCAGATCTACGACAACGCCATGATCACAGCAGGCTTGAATGATGATCCACGGCCGATGATTTCCCGCCTCAATGACCTCCTGTGTAAAGCGCTGGAGAAGCACTGACCACCTCCTGCAGACAAGTCTGGTTATGATTCCAGTGGCCGGCATACTGGAGCAGGATGCGACCGTAAACACTACTGGAGCTGTGGAGCACTTACCTTCTGCTGATGGAGCACGCGTGTTGGAGTTAACAGCTGAAAACGAGCTGCTGGAAGCTTCTCCATTAACTTATTTCTTTTTTCAGATCAATATTCTCACTGAGCTTTACGGCCATAATTATTTCTGTGGCTTTCATATTGAGTACAGTTCCAGGAGGATTGCCATATCGTTACAGGTTTATGTGAATGTTTCAAATATAAACAATAACAGCTAAAACCGAACTAGAGTGGTGGTTGGAAATCAAGCGTGTCCTAAATGTTGTTTCAAACATAGTGAAACATTTCTGCTTAAACCAGGATACTTGAAATGATGAATTCTCAAGAATTATTAGAAAATTTCATCTTTTTTTGCAAATAAAAACCGAGTCGTCTGTTAAAGACATTTTTACTGCGTTTTAAAGGTTGTCTGCTGTGAGGAGGAAACTTCTGCTTTGACATTTTTCCGCTTCAGTCTGACTCGGACCGAGTTGTCACAAGGCAGGAGTTCAAGTCAAGTAGCCCTCGACTGGTTTTAGCATTCCAACACCAACTGGACCACATCAGGGAAGTTAGAGCCATCAAATCAACAGCTCAGGGTTCATTTTCCGTTTTGGCCCCATTCTTCAAGTCTGACCTCTCAAAGAACCGCATCAGATCCACTTTAATCATCAAGAGGGCTTGTCTATGTTGGCTAAGAAGCTTTGGGCTCACCATTCATCCAGATCTATGGGAACAAAACCTCAGGAGAAGGAAAAGGCCAGTTTAGGAGTAAATAAGATACTGGAGATGTGTGAAACACTGATATTAGGATTTAACTTGCTTAAATGACCTGTATTTGTTATAGCGCCTTCTAGAGTGCTACAAAAACACATTTTAGGTGACAAAAACAAACTTGGAGCCTGCTGGATGTGATTTTTTTTCTGTGATATTCGTACAGACTACATGAGAGTTGGCAACTGCGGTAAGTAGTGGATTGTGCTATTTTATTGTATTAGCTCATGCTATTAATGCTGATGCTAACAACATGTATGTTTATGTTTAAGGATTTATTTGTAAATAATATATTATGTCTCATTAAATATAAATATCTGGTACATTTGTTTGATACTAAGCTATAAACGCCATATTACAACACTAAGCTGACTGCTAACAACGTTCGCGCTCTTAAACCTATTTACGGCACATGAAAACAGTTTCCGTCCTACCCGTTGTTACTGAGCATGTGCGCGCATGCGCACAACGCAAAAGGGGAATGCTACTCCGTTGTCATATTTGCAGGAAAATAGATAAGTAGTAAGTATTAGTACTTTTTATTGACGTTGATACTTGATTTTTTTTGGGTAGGGGTTTGTGTCATGTAAAACACCGTAAAATTATCCTACGGGTAGGACGTTTTCTCAGAACGAACAAAAACCTTTTACCGATTATGAATTTATGGAAACACGTAGCCCACTCTAATATATACTAACAAAGAGAAAACAAAGCTAACATGTAATCAACAAACAACCACGTGCAACCCAACCACTGTCACCATGACGCCGCATTTATAAATCTCTATAGAGACTGCGCGTCTGCGTTGTTTTCAGCTGCGCGTCTGCGTTGTTTTGGCGCTTCCATCCATCATAGCTTCTTTATGACGTCATTCCTTTGTGCGCGTGACGTAATCACTACTACTGTTACATACAGACACATTACAGTTCATTTGAGCGAATAGGCGCGGTTGGAAAGTACGTCACCCGTGAGTACAGAGATAACATGACTACTTATAAACAAGACCTGACAGCACAATTACGGGACAGCCGTAAGACTGTGGATCAACTTAATAGACAGATCAGAATATTAAACGCTGAAAACAAAAAGCTACAGAAAGAGCATTTGAAAACTGTAAAAGATTTAGAAATCTGTCGCAATGACACTTACAAAAAAGTTCAGCAAAAACGTCAGAATGAGATGTCGGATAAACTTAAGGAGAAAAATCAAATGATTCAGGACTTGAAACAACAAGTTGCTGGATTTGAGCTTAGAATTAAAAAACAAGAAACTGATTTCTTGAGAAAAGAAAGACAGCTGGAGATGGTGTATGATGAAAAGTTTGACAAAGCACAGTTGATTTTCAAAAACCAGCTAAAAGAAAATAAATCAGTTGTTAATGACTACGAGTCCAAACAGGAGGCAGACAGGATATTTATAAAGAAAATAGCAGCTGAGAAATTAGACTACGAAAGAGAGTGTAAGGCTCTAAAGGATCAGATTGATGTTTTAAAAACTGACAAGAAAACAGCTGAGCATCAAACTAATAAAGTTCAAAGAGAAGTAGACCTGCTCAGAAGCAGCATAAACAAAGACATTTTAGAACAAGCCAAGCTAAAAGAGGAAATCAAAGGGAAAGTTACAAAAATTGAAGAAATTGAAGGAGTGTTGAAACAAAAGGAAAAAGAAATCATTGGATTTAAAAAAACCTTACATGCTACACAAAGAGACATCCATGAAAGTAATATCAAGGCAAGCAGGCTTAGAAATGTTCAAAGGGATTTGAAACAGGCGGAAGATAAAAATCGTATCTTTAGAGCCGATCTGCAAGCTGAAAAGGCCCAAGTCGACATCTTGAAGGTGGACAAAGATAAGTTAATTGAAAAATGCGATAAACTGAAAGAGAGTAATGAAAAGCTATCCGCAGAGAATTTGGCATTACTACAGACCAACAAAGAGGTCTCTGAAAAGCTGAAGGACAGCGAAAGAACAGCTAAACATTTATCTGAAGAAAACGTGAAGAAAGAAGAAAAAATCGACCGGCTCACAAATGAACTTAGGAACACTAGGACAGCTTACCAAAACGAGAGGACACTGTGTGACCACGAAGTGAGAAGGATGAAAGAATATACTTATAGCGAACTTGTTGACACAAAAAATATGGCAAGCGAAGCTGGCATCCAAAGAGTAATTCTCATCAACCAAAACAAAAAGTTGATTCATCAAGTCAGCTGTCTGGAACAGCGCTTGACTAAAGCAACAGAAGACATCAAACTCTTAAGCGGAGAAAGGGAGAAACTTCTTCAAGAAAAACAAAAAATGTCATTTGACAAAGACCAGTATTACGTTGAGCTGGAAAAAGTAAAAGGCGACAATAACTCTCTGAAGCAAGAGATTTCACATCTCAAGTTGCAGGAAAACATCTCAAAGAAGAAATTTGAAGAAAATATTCAGTCAGTTCGTCAAACACTCACTCACACAGAATCTGTTCTGGCAAATGTGGAGGACGAAAACCGGAAACTATGTCAGAGAATTGAGATTCAAGAAAAACAGATTCGAGAACACAAAGAGCAGCTAACCGAGACTAAAAGAAATTTGGAGTCATTTCACCGCCTAGTAGAGGAAAAAGCTGAACAAATCAGAGAACTTGAAAGCCATAACCATGTTATAAAAAGACCTGTAGTGTTTGGTAATATGTACATTGACTGCATGCGTGGCAAAATTCCTGTCGAGAAAAAGTGTTTTGAGTGTACCAAACTTAGAAGAGAGCTTAGCCAAATTAATCAGGATTTTACAACTAAGCTAGAAGAAAAGGAGAAAATGATTCATGAACTGAGGTTAAAAAATCACAAGACTTTTGGTCTGAGAGCAGAAAATAACGACCTTAAAAAGCAAAATGTTAAACTGCAAGGAATCGGCATTGCTTTAGAGTGGCAACTGCAACAAGTCACTGACACAAAAGACAAATTAAAAACTGAGGACAAACCAAAGCCAAACCAGCCAAAGAGATTGTTGAGGCGCCCTTCACTTGAACCTGCTCGTTTAAGAAGGCCAACTGACCATTTAATGTAGGAAAACTCTATCCCCGGTTGAAAAAAGCGTTTTTAGAAGCTTTGCTGAGAAAGGCCACTTTTTACTAGAAAAACTGGCCTTCATGTAGTTTCAAACGAAATATCCACAATAAGCATTTAAATAGTATTTTCTGGACAGCATTTTATATGGAGTAGAAAATAAAGAATCATAAGACTTTTGATCTGAGATCAGAAAATTACGACCTTAAAAAGCAAACTTGTAAACTGCAAGGAATCAGCACTGCTTTAGAGTGGCAACTGCAACAAGTCACTGACACAAAAGATGATTTAAAAACTGAG